GACATTTTGTTCATTGTCTTTTCTTTTGTTTTTTTTTTTAAGATTTATTTATTTATGCACACCGAACTGGGGTACAGGACAGAGGTGCAGGGGCAGTGGGAGGATTCACCAGGGACAGAGTGGGGAGCAGAACAGGCAGATCGACGAAGTACACTGCTGAGGGGAGCAGCGGGTGGGTCAGGAGAGGTCTGCCATGCCATGTGGGCCACGTCCGGGGCGAGTGGGCATTGAACTCATGCCGAAGTGGCTTTAGTTTCTTAGTGCTGTGCTTTAACCCGCTGTGCCACCAGGGAGGGCCTCATTGCCTTTTTTAGTTTTTGTTTTTTTAAAACAGGACTTTATTTTGATTTACTCTTTTGAGCAATGATTTCTTTTGAGCTATGATTTCTTGGTAGTGTCCCCTATTGCTTACTGCACATGCATAGATTTTTTTTTTTTAAGGGACTATCAGTGAGTTTATATTATTAACCCAGGTTTTGGGGAAACCTTAGGTCTTTGAAGTTCATGGAAATAAAAACTGCATGTTCTGGTGTCTGTTCAGAGGCAAACAGAAGGAGTATAGCACATGACATCCTCTTATTTTAATCTAATTCAAGGGTGATTCAGACTTGCTTCACACAGCTGGAGCAGATAACTCCCTGAATTCCTTCCTCTGTAGTGAGGGGCTGACACCCACAGAGAATGTAAGCATCCAGCAGGGTGGAGTGTGGAAATAGACAATTTTGTTCTTTCCTGTCACTGTTTTATTCCAGGGACTCACTCGTGGTCAGGGCCCTAGGATAAAATGCTGTCTACCGATTTTGCTAAGGTCAAGTAGGGTTGTTTTGATTTCTTCCCCATCACGTGGTTGCATCATTCTTTTGAAGGACTTCTGTTCTTGTTCCACTTGCACTTCAGTTCTTGTTCTACTTGCTCTTGTTCCACTTGGATGGAGCCTGGAGAGGTTTATCAAGGCCAAAGGTAATACCTGGGTCTACAAAATTAGTCAGGCTCAGTGGATCTTTATCACCAGGCAGAGGAGAGGCAAGTAAGGCTCCACCATTATACACAGACTTTCACTTTTTTGTCCAATGCAAGTGAAAATGAGAGCTCTCAAACTGGTTCCACATCTGTTTGACATGCGAGCTTCCTGGAAGTTTCAAGTTCAGGTTTGTTCTATGAGGCCTTCCTAAGAAAGGAAAGAGTAGCAATGATCTCACTTGCAGGTGAGTTGACCTAAAATACAGCATTTTTAAGAGCGGGATTGCTTCCTCCAGCGTGGCGACTGTTCAGAGTGCAGTTTTTGTTCTTAACACTACTACTCTGAAGAGTCTTGAAAATTAGTGATTGAACTAAAGAACTAGTCATAGCACTCAGGATGAAGTAATAGTTTCTTTATTACTTGACTCACCCTGCTCTTCAGAGAAATTAACTTCCCATCAGCCTCTCCCACCTTCTAGAACTGGCTGTGGTTTACAACCTCCTATTGTGTTGTTGCAACATGTAAACTCTTCACTTCTTTTAAATTGCTCAACTGTTAAATTGCTCAACATGACAGGTACATTTTTTCTTTCAGGTTCCATTCTCTTTGGAAACCATTTCTGGGCTCTGCTCTTCTTGTCCTTGGGGTGCCATCCCTCAGGTGCTCAGAACAGGGAGAGGCCTTGAGAGGCTAGACCTGCAGGGTGCCTGCACTGACAGAGCTTGGAATGAACTAAGAATAGTTTAGTTCACCCATAGTTAGGATTGGTAACATAAGTTTTGGTATTTTGAATTCTCGGTCACTTAAAGATTATTGCAGTAGAATTTAAAAGTACTTGGGCCCTCCCTGATGGCACAATGGATTAAAACGCAGCACACTGAAGCCGGCTGCAGCCGCTTTACCACGAGTTCTACCACCTGCTAGGGAGGTGACCCACATGGTGCCAAAGACTTCTCCTGACCCGCCCGCTGCTTCCCTCAGCAGTGTACTTCTAGATCTGCCTGTTGTGTTCTCCTCTCTACCGCTGGTGAATCCTCTCACCCCTCCTGCACTCCCTGGTGGTGCAGCGGGTTAAAGCACAGCACTAAGAAGCTAGAGTCACTTCAGCATGAGTTTGATCCCTGCCCCGGAGGTGACCCACTCGGTGCGGCAGACCTCTCCTGACCTGCCCGCTGCTCCCCTCAGCAGTGTACTTGGTCAGTTGGCCTATTCTGCTCCCCACTCTGTCTCTGGTGAATCCTCTCACCACCCCTGCACCTCTGGCCTGTACCCAGTTCTGTATGCATCAATAAATAAATCTTTAAAAAATAGTCTTAGGGCCCTCCCTGGTGGTGCAGCAGGTTAAAGCACAGCACTGAGAAGCCAAAGCCGCTTCCACATGAGTTCGATTCCTGCCTGCCCCGGAGGTGACCACATGGCGCGGCAGACCTCTCCTTACCCGCCCGCTGTCCCCCTCAGCAGTGTACTTTGTCAATCTGCCTGTTCTGCTCCCCACTCTGTCTCTGGTGAATCCTCTCGCTGCCCCTGAGCCTCTGGCCTGTACCCCAGTTCTGTATGTACAAATAAATAAATCTTTAAAAAAAAATAATCTTAAAAAAAATTTTTGGAAGTACTCATCATGGCTGAAGTTCTGGCTGCCCACCACCATCTGTCCTCATTTTCTTCTGGCTGTTAGACCAGCATTGTGGCCAGTGCATGTGAGCAGAAGAAACGTGCCTTCCTAGGCCAGGGCTTTAAAGGCAGATGGGTGCCTTCTCCATGCTTTCTCCCTTTTCTGCTGCATAGAACCGGGAGAAACTGAGCCTTAGCCTCTCCGATGGCAAAGCCCTGGGTAAGGCAGTGCCCAAGCCAGAGGGGGCCTGGTCTCTGGAGCACTGCATGATGGGAAGCCTCCTGCGGATTTAGAATATCCACCCTGGGTATTAAATGAACAGGAAACAAACTTATCAAGCATGAGCCATGGTTCTGGGGAGCAGTGTAGCTTATGGTAATAGAATGTTGTAGATTATGTTAATGCAGGAGACTGCAAGGTTAGAGCAGTCAAGCCCAGGGGATGGGGCCTGGTGTTTTGCATCCTGACTCCTTTTTACTAAGAATTTTTATTGCCAGTCAGGAAACAAAGAACAAAATATCGACAGTTCTGGTGTAGACTTTACTTGTAGGAGTCGTTCCTTTCCTGTCCACAGCCTCCCTGCGTGTCTCTGGATTCCTTTGGCAATCACTGTCCCTAGTCGTTACCTGATACTTTGTGGAGATCAGAGCAGAGCTGGGAGTCTGATCGGCCAGCCACTTAGGCAGGGCCTTTCAAGATACTAATCTCTTTGGGGTGGTGGTGTGAGGCCCTCAACCTTGTGGCTCGAGAAACAGAAGCCTTGGTGTAGCCAGGCTTTCAGACCCAGAGACGCAGGCCAACCAGGAGGTATGAAGCGAGAGCTCGTCCTTGGTCATGGGGAGTAGCAGTCTCCCAGTATCTGTTGGCAGGAGGCCTCTTGCTGTGAGCAGGCAATTGGGAAATCAAGTGAATAGCCAGAGGTCCTTGGTGAGCAAGGAATCGGAGCAAATGGAGTTGGGTCTTGCAGGGAAAATCCACCCCCCAAGCTGTGACATTATCTGCTGATTTATTCTCAGCAGCGTTACACACTTAATCTTCAAAATCCTTTTGTGATATTCAGTCTCTCGTCTTGTAGAGTGCTGCTCTAAGACTGCTAAGTTTTCTTTAGGTTACTTTTTAGGCTTCTTGCAGCTTCTGATAAATTAAATACAAGCGAGAAGCCTGTTCTCTGTCACACCTGAGTCTATAGCCTGGATCCCATGACTAGATTTGAGTCACGTACACATTGGGGTGATAATTTAAATTCACTTGTGTTTCTTATTGGGCATATATGAAGGTTAAATGACTTAAAGTGGTCTTTAAAAATTAGTTACTACTAACATTATTATTAGATAAGCTTTTTCTAACATTGTAAAATATGCAGCTGGCTCACCAAAGTCACCCCAGTGTCATAACACCTCTTGAGAACCTAAATACCTGATGTGACGTAAGAGGGTAAACATGGATTTGGAAGAGACATCAGGTAGGCAATGCTGTCCAAGACTGTTGCCAGCATAACAGGGAGGGATCTGATATTGACTGAAAAGCTTCTTCTTAAGTTGAAAGTGTCTTCCCATATTTTGAAGTTTAGTAAGGCTCATAACGACTTTATGCTGCATGTGTCTTAAAAAGTTTTTTTCATAGATGTTTTCTTTGGTCATTTTTCCCCCGTTATGCTCCCACTGTCTGAACTGTTATATTCTTTTACTTTTAGCATTTGCCCTTTTCCTTTTTTTAGTTATACAGATCTTCTCTAGTTCTGGACTTTTTATATTATTTTTATTTTTAATAAAGTGACCAAAAGATACAGAATTTTAGCTGCAGATATCTTTCCTTTGAGAAAACAGAATAAGGCTTTCTGTTTTGCAATCCCGTTTTCCAGGTCACTGCTTCTCAAAGCTATTGGCAACCACTGCAGCATGAGTTTGATCCCTGGCCAGGGAGCTGACCCACAAGGCACAGCAGACCTCTCCTGTCCTGTCCGTTGCTCCCCTCAGCAGTGTATTTCAGTAGATTCACCTGTTCTGCTTCCCACTGTCTCTAGTGAATACTTTTCCACATCCCCCCTCCAACTCCCCAGCTCTTATATGCATAAATTAAATCTTGGGGGAAAACAATTATTGGATTCTCAGCATTTTATATTCACACAACTGGGATATCTGCTGCTGGTTTTATAATTGTTAAATGAAATCAGTTAACATTACTGGGTTTACTTTTTAAAACTCTTGATTCTTTATCTGCAAAACATAGAACATGCACTATTAAGATCTACCCCCCAGGTTTGCTGGGAAGGACAAGATAATCCAGCCAACCATGTGACATTTTAAATTTTAGTATGAAAAGATGAGTATGATAGGCAATTTGTCACAAGTTTTTGTTTGTGGCCCAGAGCAATAACAGTTGGAACAACATATATAATTACTACTGCCGTCCTCCATTTGTTTCCAGGATGCCGCCTTAAAGACTTTGGAGATTTGAATTTTACACCAGTTCCCAAAGATGATCTTTACAACAATCTGATAGTGAATCCTCGCTCGGTGGGCCTCGCCAACCAGGAACTAGCTGAGGTGGTTAGCAGAGCTGTGTCAGGCGGCTACAGCTGTGTCACAGTGGGCGGGGATCACAGGTAAGATGGAGCCGGGGGTGGGAGGGGCAGACTGCTTTGGTTCATTAGCTAGCTTCTTCGATATTTCCTTACGAAGAATAAAATACCCTGTGGAATTTCTGGGATAGAATGGACATAGTATTTTAATGTCTAAAGTCAGGAGATGCTAGTTTTATTAGTATGTTCATGATTATTTCTTGTAAAGCTTTTTTGAGGAACTTTTCATGACTGTTTCCAGAGGTATACTCAGATATTAAATCTTTATTGGAATTCCTGGGGCAGGTAGATTCCTCATTAGGAGTAAAAATTCAGGTGGAGTGAGTAATCTCAGGTTCTCGACAGATTCAGCTATATCAACCAGAGGTATTAGGGCTGCCATCTCCTAGCTCTGTGCTGTTTTTATCCTTTCGTGGCCTCACTACTATGTGTCAGTTATTGGTGTTTTTTGTTTTTGGCCAGCTATATTGCAATCATGCCATTGCTCCCTATCTCCTCTGCAGTGCTAAAACCTAGGCTATTTAGAAAATTCTAGTAAGGAAGGGATAGCTGTACAATTTGAACAGCTGTTGAAGATTTTAAAGGGAGACATTTTTAGTCATGTTTCTTTTATATAGTACAACATGCAATATTACCTTGATAATCAAACCAACTTACTTAGTAACAGGCCTAGATAACGTTTTTTGTTTTTGCTTTAAGATTTACTTATGTATACAAGAACTAGGGTAGAGGCCAGAGATCCAGGGGGTTGAGAGGATTCACCAGAGACAGATTTGGGAGAATAGGCAGGTCCATTGAAATACACTAAGTGGAGCAGCGGGTAAGACAGGAGAGGTCTGCTGCACCATGTGGGTCACCTCCTTGGCCAGAGATTGAACTCACGCTGCAGTGGCTGCCAATAGCTTCACAGTGCTGCACCACGAGGGAGGACCCCGCTTAGTTTCTAAGATGCTTAAGCTGTATTTCCCATCCTATGTGAAACTATTTGGTTACTGGGAAGCTTGGGCAGGTCTCTACCACAATTTCATCAGCTATAGTGCCACAGCTGGAAGAGGTCATTGACAAATGGAAGCACAGACCAAGAACAAGATAAAAAACAATGTATTTAAATGCATTGAATACATACAAGGCAATATGCAGATAAACCTTTTTTGTATTCAATGATCTAAATAAATTTTAATGGGGTACCAGTTTAATATCTTTAACATTGACTTTATTTTAGAAAATTAACATGATGCTTCCAAAAAGCTATAATGTGTTCTGATTTTTATCCCTAATACAATGATTTTTTGATAGCAGATCTGTCCCCCCCCCAAAAAAAAAAAAAAAAATCCCTGGTTTCCCTTTACCTGTCTCCCTTCAGGGCTGTTAAGCGGTATTTGTGAGTTGTTTCATACAGACCTCATACTTTTAACTAGATTTCACTAACTTAAGTATTAAAGGTTCTTTTCTACAGAAAGATCAAATTATAGGGCTGGGGGCTGCAATGGTCTCCGTCACACTACAGTGATAACCATTTATGAGCTTTGAATCTTTAGAGCACTAAATATCTAATTTGATCAAGGTTACTCTGAGAACTACAACCGCAGGGACTTTGTCGCATCCAAATCCAGACAGGAACCATGACTTTGCTCTGAGAACAGTGTATGAGGTGCTTTAGCTGAGGAGTTATTGGTGATATATGCCAAGCAGAAAGCCTTGAAGATTATTTTGTTTTTCACAGCCTGGCAATTGGAACTATTAGTGGCCACGCCCGGCACTGCCCAGACCTTTGTGTGATCTGGGTTGATGCCCATGCTGACATCAACACACCCCTCACCACTTCTTCGGGAAATCTCCATGGACAGCCAGTTTCATTTCTTCTCAGAGAATTACAGGACAAGGTCAGTGAGTGGAAATGAAAATGGAATGACTGGAGCTGTGTGGATCTAGGTAGAGATTTCTGTGAACGATACATTAAAGGTGATGATATTGATTATAATGTCATTTGTTCATCAGGTATTTTTATAGGACATTAATCTTGCTACAAGCTAGGGATATGGGGATGACTAGACCATGCATTCAAGGGGCTTAGAATCTTAGAAGAAAGGAAGGTGGTGTGGTGGGTAGGTAGTTAAAATTATTTCATAGCCTGAAGGGCTCAGATTACTATCAGACTCACTATCTAGAAGGTAAGTAAAACCATGATTGCCTCTAGGTAATTTTCCCTAGGTTACTGAGAAGACATGGAAGTCTATGAGGGAATTCCTTTCTCTCTCTCCTCAGTGAAGGACCAAGTGAAACTAGCAGTACAAAGGTTATTCATTGGGCAGAAATTTGTTTTGACTGTGTACAACTTGAGATGGCAACTGGGTTATGTTTCCAGAACCAATCTGTTAACAATTCAGTAATGTGCAAAGGAGTGAGAAAAGGGCTAATCAGCAGTATTCCTGCTGTTTAACAAAGTTAATAAAAAACTAAGACCACCTTAGAAGACATTTTTATTCCTAAGAAGCTACACTGCATTCTTCAGCTCTTCCTTTGAGATAATTCCACTTGTATCCATTCTCTTTCCCAGATCAAGTATCTTGTGTTGCTTTAAGCATATCCTGTGGTAGGAAGAAAAAAGCAGACAGCACACACTGGGAAACATACAGTGATCATCGCATGAGACCAACAATCTGTCCTGAATCCTGTTCGTTCATCTCTTCATAGGTACCACAACTCCCAGGATTTTCCTGGATCAAACCATGTATCTCTTCCCCAAGTATCGTGTATATTGGTTTAAGAGATGTGGACCCTCCTGAACAGTAAGTTGAAGCATTTGGGATAAACCTTGGGCCTGTCCTGGCCACTTGATTTGCTAGGTGTTGCTTTAAGTCACCATAAGTCCCTCCCACCCCACCCCACCCCACCCCACATTTGATTAAAAATGCCCTTTAAACTACAGACTCTTTCTTTTATATATCGCCAGTTTTATTCTAAAGAAATATGATATCCAGTATTTTTCCATGAGAGACATAGATCGACTTGGCATCCAGAAGGTCATGGAACAGACATTCGATCTGCTCATTGGCAAGTGAGTAACTACAATGGATGGCTCCTTTTAGGTCTCAAAGGGAATAGAGCAGACTCCCAAGAGGCAGCACAGTATAGCCCTGAGGACAGGAGCTTCTACAATAAAAGCAACACATACATATAAAATATCCAAATAAACCAGGAGAGAAAAATATGAAACACAAGTTATATTCTTCCTCTGGGTTTGGGAGGCTGTCACTGCTCGATCCTCATGAATTCTCAGCTCATTTTTAAAAAGCCTATCTTCTTTTCCCCCCAACTGTTTCATTCTTCACACCTCACTACGGCTTCATCAGAACGTTTTATGTTAAGTAAATGTTAAGCAAATCTTGGTAGTATAGAAAGATGGTAGCTGACAGATAATTGCTAGTCAAATGCTAATTTTAAAAGCATCTTCCTAATGCTGACTATTTCTGGGTAATATATAATGTCAGCTTATAGTATGTAATTTCTTAAGCTATCAAGAAATTTAGTTATTTAGTATATGGACATTTGTTAGTTTTAGTCATATGACACACCTGGGCCAACCTGTAAGTCAGAATTGGATGATGAGACTACCAACACAAAATCGGAGTTATGTTTTGGTGCCATTATGTTCTGAGAGACTAGCAACTGGAACACAGATAATCCAAAAGAATGTATCAGAGCCCACTGTCATGGAAGTGAAGAATTCCCTCTAATGAGTTAATGTAAGAGGTTCTCATGTTCAGGCTAAGTCAGACATAGGAACTGGAGTTAGAGGCACATGGAACAGCAGCAGTATCATGAAGTGGTGTGCAGGCAGCTACCATGTTAGTGTTCAGTAACTTCCAAGAATAGAAAACCTGCAGATCTGCTGTTAACAAGATGCCAGGGCTAACAGCAGCAAAGTAAAGGCATTGCAACTGTAGAAGGGTGAGAATCCAGCCACAACCAAATGACAATTCTTATCTTCCTTCTTCCAAGACGACAAAGGCCAATTCACCTGAGTTTTGATATTGATGCATTTGACCCTACACTGGCTCCAGCCACAGGAACCCCTGTGGTAGGGGGACTCACCTACCGAGAGGGCATGTATATCACTGAGGAAATCCATAGTACAGGTAAGTAGCAACCAGCCTGTTAACTACATAAATAATGCTGCAGCCTCTGGCCAGTATGGGGGTCTTTTCTGCTACTCCATGCCATTGCAGGCATTGTTTTGTTTTGTTTTTTTTCTGTGTAAACTTTAATAGCTAGAAGTCAAGTGGTCAGTTAATAAGGGGCAATCAATAAGATGTACGTTTAAACCTGGTTTATGCCAAAAGATGCTAAGGTAAAACTGAATAGGAAACTTTATGCCTATATAATATACACTCATAAAAGATAACAGGAAACTGATATGTTCTCTATATCTGAATTCTCTAAAGGAAGACTAAAAAGGCAAGGCCAAGTAGCTGGTAATTATACCCTAACATTAAGAGGTTGATTCACTAGGAGTTGGGAATGTGGAGTTAAGATTTTCTTGAAGATATTTTCAAAGATGGACGGTATCTTAGGTCCTTACTTATAGGCTAATTCTGATATTAGACACCGATCAGAGCTCTTATTTGAGTCTACTGGAAGATGAATGGCTGCCAAACAAATCAGTAAATTAGCATTAGATTCTAAGTATGGCTACAGGGGGTCCCTATCCCATTACTCATATACTCATTTGCAAATTTTCCATTTCTGTCAGAAAGTAAGGCTACTTTAAATGATCTTTTATGTAAAATGTAAGCAACTATGATACTTCAATGGCTATCTCATAAAACTGGGATCTAAATAGCATAGATACTCTAGACTGAAAGATTTGGGGCAGATAATGGGCACTGAGAAATGTTCCTGGTGCTGGAGCCTGCTGAAATCTGAGGCACTACAGAAAGGAAAAGAGTGCTTGTTTATCAAATTGGACAGTGGTGAGACCATGTCACTCCTAGAGGTTGCCAAGTGTCACTGTGCTAGTGGCCAGTAAGCCTGGGAGTAATGCTCCATGTGTGTTCCCAAATGGTAACACCTGGGTCTGGGGCCATGCTCGTCCCTCCCTCTCTGGATGTTGCATTTTATTCCAAAGGACAGCAGCAGCGTGGAAACATGGGTGACTTGTGGCCTGTGCTAAAGGCCTAGATTTAGTCAAAGGTAGATTCCTGTGCAAAAACTGGCGTGCACACTACTGGAGCATGCTTGTTGCAGTTCTGCATGGCACACTGGTAAGGGCAGCACACAATGGATATAACGACATGGAGCACACCAATCACGTACTATCATGTAACCTCAATAAATCAGACTATACCATTAGGTATAGACACCATGTTGCCAAGCTTTATGGCTAACCTAATATTCTGATATAGTGTCTGTTATACTAGTTTAATGACTCTTGAAGAGGTAAATTAGCTTCATCCAGGATAACTAACTGTTTCAGAGAAATGAGGGGGTTAAGGAGGGGGATGGTGTTCTATATGTTCAGGGGGAGGGGGAAGAAGCAGAACAGGTCTGGAATAGGTTCTTCTGGTGTAATCTTCCCTCCTTGGCCTGCTCTAGGACAGAAGGTACAGGGCTAGGACAGGGCTAAGAGCCCTGGCAGAAGTTCACAAAACCACACAGACATTAAAGTCCAAATTAGATATAATCATGAGTCTTCCCTGAACCAAGTGCAAATACTGAGTCAATCTGCTAGGAATCATAAAAAGCTGCCACACACGGAACCTGTCCTCAGAGGCCAGATCTGCAGGCATGAGAGTAAGATATGCAGTGATAACTATGTCAGGGCATGTGGTTTGGTGGCCGTAAAGATGCATATAATATTAATACAAAAGTGGGAACACAGCTCAGATTACTGAGAAGTGGGAGAATTTCCTGTCTTAATATTTTACACACTTATAGGCAGGTGTCTGGAAATTTCCTAATGTTGGAAATGACAGTTTCCCAAGCAGTTTGAAAACTCCATGGGCCCTTCCCTTTCTATCCTGAAAAGTCAATCAAACAAAAAACTATACTATGCCTGTTATATTAGGTAAAAAGGGATGACTGGCTTCATTACCTTAAAGATCTCTTTCAGACCTGGGCCAACCAGTGTTTCAAATAAAATCCATACCTCAGAGGATGAGATGAGGTACTAAGGGCTCCCTGACAGCAGATAATATTACAGTGGAAAATGACTGGAGTTTTTATAGCTTCCTCAGCAGGTTGGGACTTTTCTGAGGTTTCTTATTTTGTTCTTTCAGGGTTGCTGTCAGCACTGGATCTTGTTGAAGTCAATCCTCGGTTAGCTGCTTCTGAGGAAGAGAGCAAGGCTACAGCTGGCCTGGCAGTGGATGTGATAGCTTCAAGTTTTGGCCAGACAAGGGAAGGAGGGCACGTAGTCTATGACCAACTTCCTACTCCCAGTTCCCCAGATGAATCAGAAAGTAAGGAACGTGTGAGAATGTAGGAGATGCTGTGTTGTCACAGTAGGCATTCAGAGTCATGAGGTATTTGAGGGGATAGTAAGTGGTCACCCAAGTCAATACTGCCTTAATGAGAACATCTGTGCATTCTCAAAATTGTAAAGTGTCCTCTCCCTCTCCATTTTGGTGACCAATACACTATTGTAAATGTATTTGTTTTTATTTACAGCTCACAGGGCATTGATACATTGGCGTACAATGTAAATTTAAAGACATCATAAACAGCATTTATTACCTTGGTATAGCATACTGGTCTTGTTGCTGTTCTTCACAGTTAACTGGGTTTTCGTCTTCCCTCCCTCCACCCACAGTCAGGCTACATAGTGCATCCTTGAGCCACTGGCTCACAGCAGCAATATGGTTTCATCTCTAACACCGTTCATTCATAGGGCTAAAGTTTTGATCCACAAACTCCTCCTGGTAGCAGCTCAATGTTTACGAAAAAATTTGTAATAAACCAGGCCTCCCAGTATGACTGCCTCCAGTAAGATGACGATGGAAAGCAGAAGCTTGTTGGTTACCACTCTAAAAGAGAAGCAAAGTGGGGAGTGGTCAGAAGGTTGGACAGCATTTTCTTTCCATCCTTTAATCTTAAGAGGAGTTTCACCGTGGACCAAGACCAGATACTGTGATGCCACCTTGAGCTTTTGTTTGACCTCAAGGCCTCTTAGCAGTAAGTATCTTATAACATGTTTTAGCTATAACTTAGGGATACACACTACCTACCTCACAGAAATGTTGAAATCTGAGATAATAGATATCAAAGCCTAAAATGGTTTCTTAGTTCAAAAGAACTAAGAACTTATCTTCACATAGTAGCTGCGTCCAGCTTTTCTAAAGAGTTTGCAATCTCTTGCAAACTTACGTTCCACACACCGTCCCCTGCCCACGGCTACGTCTATTAAAAAAAGTAGAAAATTGATGCTCCGATACTGTCTTTCATTTACACAAAGAATCCAATCTCACGTTCACTCTAAATTGCAAGTTTCTCCCTGTCCACAATAAACTCACCACTATTTAGGAAAACCTGTCATTCATGGTAGTTCTATCAGTTAGTTGTAGCTGACATCTCTACTTTCTCCAGAATCGGCCTCAATCAGACCACCTCCCATTCTGACCCTAATTCTGATACTGCCAGTACTTCCCCAAACGTAAAAGGCAGACTCCCATGAAGGACAAGCAGAGTCAAAATCAAATACTAAGTAGTGGCAGTGAAAACCACTTTCTAGCAAGTTTTTACAAATATGCTTCAAGGAATATAAAGCTCTATTATGTCAATCTTGGCTTCTTTAGAGAATATAAGACCTTTCAGTGGACAAATTATCCATTGTTCCCAGTTAGAATAACATAGGGAATTTGTTCTGGGATAATTAACAAGACAAGATAGCATTGCTTCTGCTTTGAATCTTTCAAGTCACTGTTTAAAGCTTTGACATTCCTGGTTGAAATTATTAAGGGTAAAGAGGAATTTTATGACTGTTTTAAAACTTACTTTCTGGACATTGTACGGAGAATCTTTCGACTTTTGCTCAAGTTTTCACTTGTGTTTACCAGCTAAGAAGAGAAAACAACAATTATTTCCCCCTTTTAAAAGTATACTGTAAAATCTTAACATTTCTAACTTGACATTAAGGGGTAATTGGTAAAAACCAAGAAATCAAACCAATTTAAATGATGGCCTCTGAGGATTAGCAGAAACTGAAAGGCTAAGATAGGTAAGAACAAGTAGGCTCAGGAATTATATTTCACGGTTGCTGTGGGCAACTAATCTTCTACCTTGGTTACTCAAATCAGAAAAGATTCCAGTATACCTGAAAGTACTTTGACAGTAATTGTGAAGCAACTTAAGATTTAAATTTCATCAGCCAAATTCCAGGACAGTCTCATGAGTTACTACTGTAGGCTGGATTTTTTAAAACTGCTTTAAGTTTAAAAGAGACACAGTGAATTGTAAAAGGAATTTATCTTAGTTGCCTTCTCCATGGCTTACCTTGAATTTAATTTATGGTAATTTTCAGAGGGAGAATTTCAACTAATTTTTTCCTATCCATGTCTTATCCACAGTATCCATTTTTCAGTTTGGATTTGCCTCATACTATAAACACATTCCATCAGCAAATTGTATCTTTAAAATCCTATGCAGATATATTAAAGAGAAGCAACAAGTTGTTTTTTCAAAGCCTCTCAGAATGATAGGTCATTTTGCCTGAGTTTTTCCATTTGCCCCACAATTATCAGGCTTACCTTAGGTAACAGTAAAGGGCTTATAGCTCAGGATTAAAGCTCTAAAAAAAGTCAGAGGGTACTATTTTACTACATGTGGACAACAGCCTTAGGGCCACATAACAGGAAAGCCACTTGTTTTTTTTTTTTTTGGAAAGCTAATTTTTTACATAAGAATAGGCATACCTCAATGTATGAGAAATAAAAATCTTATTGGTGGTTCTGAATATTATTTATGACATAACTAATGTCTCACCAAAGAGACACTTTAATGAGGAATTAATAAAAAGATAAGAATGGCTGCAAACTTCTATTTGGCAACCCTTAATAAATACAGAAACCTTGTATCTTCTGCCTTTTTATACCCAGTGACCTCTAAATCTTAGTAGGTAAAACTACATACTTCTGATGGTGATCTTTCTACCAAGGAAACTAAAAATTGAGAAAGCTTAAGAATCTACAAGATTATATCCTAAATTCAGCACTGCCAAAGCAAGGCACTAGGATGTCAGGGATGGGGTCCACCCACTATCCCGTCTGGACAAACTTACTCTATTTTTGGTACGTTCCAATTGGTCACGTTGCTCCCCCAGCTCTTCTATGATTTCTGAGCCAATCTGGTCAGTCTCGGTGGCTATCCGGTGAGAACGCTCAATACTTTGGGTGGCGCGGTTTAGGCTGTCAGTTCCTTGCAGAAGCAGTGCTCTTTGAGACTGCAGCCGATTCTGACAAGAGTGTGGAAGGGAACTGTTAGACTTCTTTTGTTATATTTATTGTCAGCACTCACCTTCCTTGTGTAAGAAGGGATACAGTGTAGTTTTTATTAGTTTTAAGACAGAACCAAAGTTCACTACTGAACTTAAGATCCTGCTTAAAGTCAGACTTTAGCAGAGCCTGTAATCTAGTACGGGAGCATAGTGCCTCCCACTGCACTGTTACTACACTTAAGGCAGAGGAGGATATTGATCAAGGTGTTTCCCCTGTGTTTGTGATGAATGTGAACTGGACTAGCAACTTCTGGGAGACCAGGACCCTAGACTTGGGATACAGGATATGGAAAGTCCTATAGCCTCTAGCTTGGGTAGCACAACAAACCTAGGTTATGTCACCTAAGATTCCCACCTGATAAGTACTGAGCATTAAAACTTTAGGGACTGTAAGAATTTCACCTCAGGCTAAACACAGAAAACTCTGAAGTTGCTACAGCTGTGATTGCTCTCAGCAAAGGAGGTAAGCTGCCCTAACACCCTATTTTCGAAATCTCAAAAGTTTGATTCTACCTATAATCCTAAACACAGACAGCATGAATACAAAAGTAGCCTTTGTCAGACCAGAATTAACCCTGACAGAAAAGGGTCAGTTCGAAGTTCATAAAGAATGCACAAACATGGCCCCCTGGTGGCACAGGGGGTTAAAGACAGCATTATCAAGCTAGCAGCAGCAGCTGTAACAAGAATTCACTCTCTGGCCAGGGAGCTGACCCACATATGGTGCAGCAGAACTTTCCTGTCTCACCTGCTTTCCCCCTCAGTTCTGCTCCCTTTGTCTTTGGTGAATTCTTTCACACCCCAACCCCCACATCTCTGACCTATACTCCAGTTCTTGTATGCAAAAATAAATCTTTCAGAAAAAAAAAAATGAATGCACACACAACCACAGGGCCTACTGCTGAGCAGGTAGACTACCAACACTAGACACCACCAGCTAGTAGCCAAAAGACTGCTTCCTAGGTTAGAAAGTCTTTTTACTTCGTATGTCAGGTCAGTGAATGAAGAAACAATTGATGCAAAATATACACATAATGATCTTAATAAACACCTAAAGCTTTTGCTATAAATTAACAAAAATTTTAATTTTTTTTTTCAAATAGAAAATGGAGGGGCTTCCTTGGTGGTACAAGGAGTTAAAGTGTAGCACTATGAAGCTACCCATTGCCAGTGAGGCACAGGTTCGATCCCTGGCCAGGGAGGTGACCAACCTGGTACAGCAGACCTCTCCTGTCTCACCCGCTGCTCCCCTCATCAGTGTATTTCAGTCGGTCTGCCTATTCTACTCCCCACTGTCTCTGGTGGGCCCTCTGACCCCCACCTCTGGATTGTACCCCAGTTCTGTATGCATAAATAAATAAATCCATATATATATATATATATACTACACACCATACACACACAGCCCAGATATAATAAGAATAGATAATACTTTGTATACCACCACTGAAAACCAAACATATATAAAGGATAAAAAGAAATCCAAGCAAGCATATGGTTTGGAAAGACCTACACTGAGTAGATGTGAGTATCCAAGGAGAGAAATGGAATCGGGCACACAGGATGGGAAGTCCACTGAACAGGAACTATACTCCACAACATGGTTAACTATATCATAGACCCCTGAGTGGGTAAAAAACTAACGCTTACTTACCATATGCTCATTCTCTACAGTATATGTACCATATTTCATGTCTCCTCGGCCCCCAGGTATGGCTGTCAAAGGTGTACTTCTCACTTCCCGATGGAGTTTGGCAAGGTCCTTCCGGTAGGTTCGAAGCTTAGACATCATAGGGTTACGGAAAGATAGGGGTGCATAACGCAGTTCCTCCTCCATCTCTGCCAACTAGGAAGGCAGAAAGTATTGAGTACACCTCTCATCAGATGCCTAGTTTGGACTACTAAAGCCACAGAGAGTCCCCCAAATAAGTGCTCATTCAAACATAAAGGCAGGGACTGTGTGTAACATGTTGAATTCCAAGTGCCCGGCACCTGCCTACAAATACCAAACAGGCACTCAACAAGTGTGAGTTCACTTCAAGAAAGCTCCAATACAACCAACTAAATGAGAGAGATTTCAATTATTTTATGAATACTTGCTACATTACCTACATCAGCAACACAGAGAAAATTATGCAGAAACAGGATAAAATCTGGTGGTCCAGAGGGAGTATCCAAAGTTCACACAAGATGTACTGTCTATGTCAGTATAAACTTGTACGGGTAGGAACAATATTACTGAAAGCTGGTAGAAACATGATGTCTATTTCTGTATTAAAAAAGCAAAATATTTAGATGGACTGTCCGTAAAAGATGGCTAAAAAACTAAAACAGTTTGCCTTAAGCTGTGTACTGACTGGATACAGAAAAGAGATATGGAAGAGTTGATGTATTTTACTGATAAGTCTTAAATAGTGATCCACCAATCAGGAGAATTAAAGCAGTGCTTTAGAGTACCTTTACTACTTGAGAAAATTCCCTTTGAACCAAGAAGACAAAATTGTGAAATAAGTTTAAGCATGCCCCTCCCAGATGTATTCATTTTTCCTGCACTCAAGTGTAGTTAAAGTCTACAATATAGCTATTTGTGCAGTGCCTTTAGAGTTCGTTGCCAGGTCATTAATGGGTTATGAATTGTACAATAAACGTGTGTACTAATAAAGCTATACGCACATGTTCTCATTTGGAAGTCTTAAGAACTAGAAATGGCACATGTTCAAATGATTTTATGTGTCACAGATATCGTAACAGAAGAGTTTTAGGACTGGAAATACGCTGTGACTGATAAGCAGGGAGCTCACTGTCTTTACTTCCTCCTTCCTAAGAAAGACGCGTGTCAGCAAAAATTATAATCACAAGATATTGGTCCCGCATAAAATTAACCAAACAATTCTTGTTCGGGGGCAAAATTGCTTGTTAAAAAGTTTATTTCTAAGTTATGTCATTTAAAATGCAACTTAAAAGATGCAAAAATTTATTTTGTATTAGAATCTGTTTCCACTGCTGTCTGGTCTGAGAGTAAAAGATGGAGAGATGAATGGCATTTCTTAGACAAAATACCACATAGGAATGCTTTAGCCCAGTGCTGCAGTTTATTTTTTGAGTTCAACTGTTATTTGAAATATTTTTTATTTTGGGGTTTCTATATAGTGAGCACACAGTGGAAACTTGGGATGAGTATGTACAGCTTACCTCTGAAGAAGGTGGGGGAATGGACCTCAATAACCCTGGGTACCTGTATTCAGGGACTCAACCAACTGACACAAGAGGGTAGATAAATCCTTGAATGGGGAACATGTAGATAGAAAAAAAATCCTTGTTTGAGTGTTATAAAAGGATCAAAACTTGTCTGGCTTAAAATGCACTTTTAAGCATAGGAGTGAGACAGAAACATGTATGTGATGAGTGAAAAAACTAGTAAGCACTAATAGCTTATTAAACATTTTTATATCTATTTTCTCACTTAACCGTCACAACAAATCAATTAACACTTTTGCTTCATAGAAAGACTTCTAAAAGGGGTATCCCTGGTTGCTCAGGGGGCTTAGTCTCAGCACACTCAAGCTATCGGCAACCATTGAAGCATGAGTTTGATCCCTGACCAGGGAGCTGACCCACATGGTAAAGAACAGCAGATCACTCCTGTCTTGCCCGCTGCTCAGCAGTGTGTTTCAGAAGATCTGCCTGTTCTGCTCCCCGCTCTGTCTCTAGCGAATCTTCTTACCCTCTATGCCTCTAGCTTACACCCCAGCTCATGTATGCATAAATAAAAAATAAATCTTAAAAAAAGAGAGAGACTTCCAAGACTCAATTATCTCCATGTCAGAGATAACCAGAGCTCAAACCACATCTACATATTTCTAGGATTATAATACCTATGTACGTTCACAAGAAACCGTAACTTATATTTTCATTTGCTTGGGATGGGCAGAGTGGGAGTGGTTTTGGTTAATTCAAATAAAGTAAGTATCTGTGCACAAAATAAACTGGTATTAGCTGAAAGGCATTAAAAATGCGACCAAGCTCCCTCCCTGGTGGCACAATGGGTTAAAGCACAGCACTAGGAAGCTGTCTGTAGCAGCAGCAGCAGCACAAGTTTGATCCAGCCCAGGGAGGTGACCCACATGAAGAAGCAGACCTATTTCACCCGCTGCTCCCCTCAGCAGTGTATTGTCAGTCCGCCTGATCTGTTGCCCACTCTGTCTCTGGTGAAGCACCTCTGGCCTGTATCCCAGTTCTTGTATACATAAATAAGCAAATCTTTTTTTAAAAATGCTACCAAGGTATTGAGAAGACTGGCTACGTAACAGGTAGTATGGACATCCCTAGCTATACACATGTATTATGTTTCTAACACTCCCATTATGAAGTAGTTTCCAGTCTGGTGTCCTAGCCCTTCTTAAAATAGATGTAGAAGAGAGAAAAAGATGCAGATAAGTATAACTTCTCAGAACTTTCTGGGATAAAGGGAGGGAAGCAGGGAACTTGTCTGGCTTAAAATGCACTTTTCTTCTCAATCTACTCTGGGACCCACAACTAAGGGCAATTATTTCTACAGAGTATTACCAGGGACCTAGACGTCAGCCCCAATCTCCTGAAGTTAGATCATGCTGATTTTGGAGACAGGACTCTTACTTCCAAAGGTTGAGAGCAAAAGTTGTAATTTTTTTTTTTTTTTTAAGAAAAGGCACAGATTAAGAAGTAAGTGTTGGGCTCTCCCTGGTGGTGCAATGCACAGCATTGCGAAGCTATCAACAGCCACTTTGGCTAAGTTTGATCCCTGGCCAGGGAGGTAACCCACGTGGCATAGCACCTCACACCTCTGACCTGTATCCCAGTTCTGTATGCATAAATAAATCTTAAAAAAAAAAAAAAAAAAGCAACTGTTAAACTACACAGCAACCTAGACCAACTACAACAAGCTTTGGGTCCTTATTAGGACATTATCCTATTTATTTATGCCTTACCACGGTACCAAATCCAGTCACAATGCTGGCTGTCTTCTGTAAGACAGAAGAGAATATGGCCACAACCATTTCTGAGTGACATTTTCTGTGACAATATATTTCACAAAGAATAGTAACTTATCTTATTGGCCAGCTTTTAACATATTGAAAAAGAACACCCAGGTAGTTATAAAAATGCAACTTCTACTCAACTCAGGAGTGCATTATCAAAGACGCATTTTCAGGAGTCTTCAAGCTTAACACATTTGTATTTATCGCCCCATGCCTCAATACTCCTCTCCGCCAAGTGGCCTTATTTAGTAAGAAGTAACATCAAGACCAAAGTTATTGGTGAGAAGGTTACAAGCATTACTTTTGGAAAAGAACAACATCAGATAGAAGAAATGAAAACTTAACTCTGCATTCTTACCGTTTCATTTGCTTCCTGTTGCTTCTCATCAAAGTCTCTGATCAACTTTTTCTTCTCCTCTGAAAAAGACAAGACAAATTTCAACTGTTTGATCCTGTTCCATACAGTTACAGAAGCCATTCCTCTGCTCAGAATAAGCTCCCCATTCCTCCATTGGTCAGAGTAGCAGAACTAAATCAAAAAGCATTTAGAAATATATAGGAACAAGATATCATACAATGTCTGGGGGAATGGGGTAGAAAGGATATATTACTAGCACTTAGCACCAGGGAACAAGAATGCCACCTGGGACAGTATTGCATAACAATTATCTGGCCCCTAAAAGGCTAATAGTGTCTCAACTAAATACCACAAGTCTTAATAACAAGATTCATCTATGCTGCAGTGTGCATAGGGACATATTCTCTTAAAAAACTGTATTTTTCATCCAATATGAATAAAAAACAAGCCAGCACCTCGATCAACTAAAGAAAGAGCAATTTTTTCCAGTGCCAAAGAAAAACTAAGTTGGGCTTATGGAGGAATGGCATGTGGGAACTCAGTATGTTGACCTCTATCTATCCTAATTTTCATCTTAATCCTCGACATTCCAACACAATCCCATTTAATATATTGGGAATGTGTGTGTGTGTGTGTGTGTGTAATGCTTAAATATAATGCTTTACATGGATTTATATTTTGTTAATTACAGCATCATCAAGCATGTCACTCTGTTGCTTTCTGAGTGATCACAAGTCATTTTGTTTGTTTTTAAAGATTTATTTATGCATACAGAACTGGGGTACAGGCCAGAGGTGCAGGGGGTGAGATGATTCACCAGAGACTGAGTGGGAAGCAGATGTGGATCAGCGAAGTACACTGCTGAGGGGAGCAGTGTGAGAGACATGAGAGGTCTACTGCTGGGGTCGAAACTGGTGCGGAAGCAGCGGCCAGCTTCAGAGCGCTGTGCTTTAACCCAGTGAGCCACCAGGGAGGACCCCACAAGTCAGTCTGGATGTGTCCATGAGATCAAGCTCCCCCCAGTTTTTTTTCTTTTGTATGTTCCATCACTAGAGATCAATATCTAAGCAACAAATGACAATGCATAAAGAGCAAATGACAATGTACCCTTTACTATTTTACTTGCTGTCATGTAACATTGCCTTGATATATGCAAGGCACTCCATGTAAACTATTTCTTCCACCACTTGCCTCACAAAAACCATGATTTAGTTTTTTTGGTCTTTTTTTTTTAAGGGTGGGGGGCTTCCCTAGTAGCATAAGGGGTGAAATCTCAGCACAATCAAGTTATCAGCAGCCAGTGCAACACAAGTTTGATCCCCAGCCAGAGATCTGACCCACACAGTGCAGACCTCTCCTGACCCGCCTGCTGCTCCCCCCAACAGTGATTTCAGTACATCTGCCTACTATGCTCCCCATTCTGCTTCTGGTGAATCCTTTCAATCCCACCTCCTCACACCTCTGGTCTATGCTCTAGCTCTTGTACACGTAAATAAATCTTTTTTAAAAATAGGAGAAAGTTTAGCTATGGCAAATGACTGGCATCTTGACCATCCATGATGTAAATGAAATGAACAACAAAGCAACTGCTACTATCACTGAGGGGGGCATGTTCTCAGTTACCAGGAATAAATTAATATGTACAATTAAGAACGACGAGATAGTATGATACCATAGAGTAGTATCATATTACCTTATAATAAGCTGTCACCAAAGTGTTAAGTATCGTTACTTCTCGAAATAGGCACATCTCCAAACTCAAAAATTCTCACTTCTGACAAGCCTGGCAGTAGGAAGAAATGGTCTAAAACAAGAACATGTCCTGCCTAGCTTGGATTTTTCTACAACACTGTTAATCATAAATTCTTTTATCCTTCCTTTTCTAAAGGATATGAAAATCTGCAAGGAGGCAAATCGCAGAATGAGTCACAGAAAAGGGTATATAAGAGTACAGGGAGCAGACAACTATAATTTAGATCCTTTCCCTAACTACCTTACATTTCTATTACTCAGTTTTCCTGGTGTTGGAATATTCCTTTTCTTACCTGATTTTATAAAATATACTTTCTCCAAGGAGTGCTTTAGCTAAATAAAGTATTTTGGCAAGAGCTTGATTCTGAAAACAGCTTGAAGACCTTCATCGCATTTTCAGATCCTGTATGAAATCCTTAAACTTAAAAAAAAACCTCCAAAAGGCTGAACCCACACAACTGAGAGGTAAGTGAGAGGTATTTGAGAGGACTGTGAAGCCAATGAATACCAAGCCGCAGACATCATCTAGTCCTTCTTCTCATTTTCTGGTTGAGAAAATTGAATGCGCTGGAGAATGCTGTGTCAACACTCCTAGAACACAAGTCTCCTGACTCGAAACCCAATGCTTCCGTATATTACAGTATTGAAGGCTATTTTTGAACTCTTCGAGTGTAACAGTTAGCCAAAGATAAAATAGAGGAGGCAGAACAAGTAGCTCTATTGAAACAAACTGCTTAATTTTTTAGGGAGCCAAATATTCACTAACAATGAACTACCAAACAGTAAGTTTACATACTGGGTAGACTGGGCCCCAGCAACAAGAGTGAATGAGCCAACACTCTACTAAGCAAACCTTTCCAAACCGTTACATGCGAGTGACTCGCTTAAGACTGAGTGGTGAACTGGTAAACTGAGACGAGCAGACCCTGAAGGCTATAGGGGGGCAAGAGGGAGAATCCTGAGAAAACGCTCCGAGGTTTACCCCCTAAGTACCCTAGGTGACAGCGGGGACGCGGTGGGTGGGGGGCCAGGCAGTCCTAGCGAGCGCGCCTAAGGATGAGCCGAGACAACAGGACCCCGACTTGGAAGGAGGGCGAGGGCTCTTCTTCCCGAGCGCGCAGGACCCAGTTCCGCAAAGCTCGGCCCGCCTAGCCTCACCCGTTCCAGCCATCTTTAGGAGCCGCTCCGGCACCCCGCGTAGGTCTTCATGGAGGCCGCGGAAGATCTCATGCAGTTTCTCGAAATGCTCCGAGGAGGCGGCGGAGGTGGCCATGGCGCACGCCGCGCCCGAGCAGCGGCGGTCGAGGCTCAGGGCACCAGGCCCGCTCCTACCACAGCGGTCAGCCGCCCAGCCCCGCAGACATCACGGCGACCGCTACCGCCAGCGCCCCGGGCGAGACGCTTCCGGGACTGCTGAGGGGGCCTCCCGACCCGGAAGCACACCCCTTCAAGCCGTCACTGACGGAACGCCGGGCGCGAAAGCCTGACGAAAAGTCGGGACAGCCGTTCGCCCCGGGCGACTTCCTGGGGGTGGTGCTGCTCCTGCGAGGGCGACATTCCAGGGCCCTACAAATGTCTAGTCCAGAGTTGAGGGAGGTATCACAGCGGAAGGACTGTCGGGACCCGCGCGACCGGCAGTGCAGCAGCCTCTGCCTAGGGCCCCGCCTTCCGGCGAGGGGCGGGCGCTGCAGTGCATGCTGGGGGCTGGAGTTCGGCCGGAGACGCTCAGACTCGGCGAGCAGCCGTCGCAGGGGGCGTGGTTTCGTTTGCGTGGTGGCCCCAGGGAGTGACGCTATCACTTCTTGATTTGGTTTCAGTATGTGCTTGACATTATTCACTGACTTCGCCCTGGAAGCCATTGCAAAATCCCATCAGATTCCTGCGGGCCCTAGAGTAGAACACTTGAACGGAGGAGGTCAGGTGACCAGTGTCCCCGGCTTCACATTCCGCCTCTATCAAGCTCACCTAGTGTGTCAGTTCACTTTTTAAGAGGAATCGTGCGGAGCAACCCCTAAGCCAGTGGATGGCGCTCCTGACCAACTGGATGGAAGAAGGAGCTTTTCACTCTGCCCCGGAGAAGGGGACGGGAAATAGGGGTGGACTGAATTCTTTGGGCAGTTAAAACCGCTAGGGAGAGATGTCTATGGAGTAGCCACCAGCTTGCCATCTGTGCTTCCTTTGGTCACAGCTCAGCTAATGCTATCTGGGGTAGGATAGACAGCATCTGGCCAATAGCCAGCTTCAGTCTCAATCTCCTTCTCCCTTCTACCTCCCCCCCTTTCCTTTCCTCATATCCCATATAACCTGTTACTGGTGTTCCTCACCATGTGTCTGTTATGGGGTGTGTCCTGCATTATACAATGCAGGTGAGGACCCACCAACCAGGTCACACCTACTATCCCTGGTTTATCCTCTTTCAACTCTATTGTTTTTGTTAATGTGCAGGAATCTGGGCATATAAATAAAACACTCCTTCGCTGTGCTTGGTTAATTTACAATGTAAGGAGACTGGCTTGATCAGGTCTCTTTTCCACTAAGTGTAATGTGTTACCTATCTCAAGTTTTTCTTTGCAACTCTATGGATTTTGATGGTCTAGGGTGGAATGTACCTATTTTCACCGTTTGTCTCTGGAGTCTGTTTTGGAATGTTTACTTGGCAGCCCAATACTTAATTGCCCACACAAAGTATATGAACACTGCAGGGGCTTTAGCAGGGGCGGGAGGGGGGGGGTTCAGATGGTGATTTGTATCTCCTAGACCATATTTTTATTAGCCTGAGCTCAGTGACCATTGATTGAACAAACTTTTTTAGACTAATTTTATTTGAACATAGAAATAGCCAAGTCTGAGATTGTTAGTGGCAGTCTCATAGCATTGTGTTAATAGAAGGGGCAGGAACAAAAAGGAGACATGATGAATAGTTTGGGGTGATTAGGAAAAAATGGGAAAAGTAATCTTTGAGTAGTGTCGTAAAAGTAGAAATGGGTGATCAAATAATCAAATTATCACACAAATGAAGTTAATGGCATTTGAATTGAGACTGCTGTGGCTAGTCTTTGGGGCAGTTTATCCTTAGAATGATAAATACACAACAACAATAATAAAGAGTTCCCTTTTTTTTTTACTATAAATTTTCACTTTATTCTTTTCTTCTGTTGATTTTATCTTAGTTCTTACAGTTTTTTTATTCTGGTAAATAAAAACAAGGAACTTTTGTCATTGACAGTTTAATATATATTAAGTAAAATATTATTTTACTACATTATTATCAAAGATTTTTCACTATTTCCAGAAAATGACATTTTCTAAATATAAAGTTAAATGCTCAAAATAAGTTCAACAAAAGGTTATTTACATTTATGAGAAGACTGTGATCCTATAAGCTCTTATCCCTACCAAAGTAATATGATTCTACAACTATAAACCCTAATTAAAATAGCATACTCCAAACAAGTAATGAGGGAATGACCAATTCCTTAGACTTCCTTTGACAGTATTCTGATAAAAGCTCTCCAGATTAAAGGTAGGCTTTTAGGAAATAGGCATATTCTTTTTTTTTTTTGACATATTCTTAATGTAAGGAAATATCTTGAAAGATTACTAAATTGACAAATTATCAATAGCATCCTTAGGATCATTTTTGAAAACAAAAAATTGGGGTTGCTTTGTTTTCAGTTTTCCTCTTACCCAGCCCCCCTCCCCTTTGGTAGATAGATACTGGTTAAGATTATCGTCTTATCAGTCTTGTTAACTCAGGTGCTCACCCTCATTTCTTCTAGAGCTGGATAGTACCATCTTTTCATTTGTTAAGTCATTAACTAATTTCCTCTCTGCATGCATTACCTCCCAGTATTCCTTTCTTGTTTGGACTTCTTCACTGCTATCCATACCTCTTGACGAGTAGTCACTAACATGTGCATACAAAATCTGCTTCTTTTTACAGCTCTACACTTATATCCAAGACTGGATGATTCCACCTCTGATCACATACCTGTTTAAAACTGTTGCTTTGTGAACATTTTGAATTTTATGAACATATTCCCAACTGCATAAATACATGAGAACAGTCAGTGATAATCACCAAGTAGCCTTTCCTGTCTTCTGGTTTTTCAAAAGGAAACTAAGGCACAGAAAGGAGGCTTCCATGGGCCTGGGGTTAAATAACTGTTTTCCCAAGCTACTCCTTTCTCTATTATATTGCTGGTCTCAGAAACAGCAGAAAATGATCATTTAAATCATAGCTTATTTCTCCTTTTCCCCAAACCAAACAAACTTCTTAGAAAAGGAAGTTCTTCCATGATCTAGACAAGTATCTTAATAGTAGTGGCTTTGGGTTGTCAGAGGCAAAGCCACATCACAATCCACATGCAGGTAAGAGTTCCCTGAAGAATTCAGCTGATGGCATTCTTAAGAGTAATGGTGAGCCCTGCTCTGAAGCCACACACTGTGACTCCTGGAGTTCAGATGAGGCTGCAGTGTGACTGGCCCTCTTGAAAGTTGGTTGGTTGGTTCTGTGATTTATGAAAGCAGAAACTAGCCCAAATTATCATAAATGAACCCTGCTTTAACTTAGATTCTTCTAGAGAGTAGGTTTCAAAGGGAAAATAGAGCTTGCAGGTCATATTAGGGTCTTAAGGTTTCTCAATTAATTCTGGCTGTAACAAGAGCAAAGTAAATCTGGACAAATGCAAGGCATTTACATGAATTTGGCAGTGAACTGGGCTTTTATCAGATGTCACAGGCAAGGGTGGAAGGTCTACTCTCTTTGTGCTCAAGTTTTTAACCATCCTGAAGAAAGATCACTTTGGCAAGGTAGTAGTCTGCTGCAGGCTTCTCTTGGGTCCAACTACCACCACCTGTCAATGGGCAGGGATGCCCACCAGGTCACAGCTGACATCCCATAGCCGCCTGGCGATTGTCTCATTTCGACCCTGGGCAGAGACCCTGGCCAAACAGCAGTCACTGCAAGAAAAAAGAGAGAAGCTTCAAGTACAAGGCTCAAAATAGAGAATGTTCTTTGCCTGGCATAAGGAATATGACAGAAAAACAATCTTCTCGGCAATCCATAGAGCCAATGTTTGTCCAATTTCTTCATTCTCTAAGCTTTATCCCAGAGACATGTAATTACCGTTTACATCTCACTGAATATACCTCTTATCAGAATGTTTTGTTAATACATAATGCATACCATTTATTCTTTCTATTCCCTTTTGTATCACATGTGTAAATGTAATAACAGCACCTGCCCAACACCTGTGTATATTCCATTGTTCAAATAAACATCTGAAGCACATTCTACAACATCATCTAGCTGACATCTAGCTGTGACCATTTACATTGGTCACAGATGCTTGAAGTGTTAAATAATACTCATTATTTCTGGACTACCTGCAGTTATATTTTAAACTTGAATAACAAGTAAGGCCAGGTTCATAAACAACAAAAGTAGGTACAGCTAGCATGTACCCACTTTTGTACATTTACCTACATTTGTACATGTACAAATTTTTCACGTACATTCTCTTCATTGCTGTAATCCTAATCCTAACTGTACACAAAAATGAACATTATTTCAAGGATAATTCTCTTATTTATTCTTGTATTTTCTGCATGTAGTACACGCAGCAACTGGGACCTTATTACAAGTACCAGTTCTCAGGAATTTGTTATCAATCATGTCTCCAGATGTTTTTTAAACAATGTGAACTTGCCGTTAGATAAGAAGCCTTACAAATACAGTACTTTCGGCCCTCCCTGGTGGCCAGCGCACAGCACCAGGAAGCTAAAGCCACTTCCGCATGAGTTCAATTCCCGCTGGCCGGCCTGGAGGTGACCACATGGCGAAGCAGACCGCCCACTGCTCCCCTAGGCAGTGTACTTCATTGATCTGCTTGTTCTACTCCCCACTCTGTCTCTGGCGAAGTCTCTTGCCGCCCCTGAGTCTCTGGCCTGTACCCCAGTTCTGTATGCAAAAAATAAATCTTTAAAAAACAAAACAAAACAAATACAGTACTTTCAAGGCAACTCATCAGCAAAACCTGCCATATTTATTTTTTTTAAAGATTTATTTACTTATGCATACGAAACTGGGGTACAGGCCAGAAGTGCAGGGGCATCGAGAGGATTCACCAGCGTCAGAGTAGAGAGCAGAACAGGCAGGTTGACAGAGTACACTAAGGGCAAGACAGGAGAGTTCTGCTGCACCATGTGGGTCACCTCTCTGGCCAGAGATCGAATTCAGTGCTGAAGCAGCTGCAGCTAGCTTCGTAGCGCTGAACTTTAACGCGTTGCGCCACCAGTGAGGGCCCCCAACCTGCCATTTCTAAATGAAAAGACCATCACTGAGAACCAAAAGGCTCTGTATAGCTTTCTAGAAATGGCAGGTCCTCTGTAAGCCTTTATAGCCTCTACTACACTGTGCCTATTTTCTTTGTAAGGTTATGGTAAAGAGCAAATGTTACAATGGCCATGAAACTGTCTTGTAAGTTATAAGGTTTTTAAGTATAAAATTTATTCCAATACTTCAGTAAAAGCTACTTAAATGTAATTATAATATCAGCACAGTACTGTTATTTTCAGTGGGATTTTGGTTAAACGGGATTTGGTAAGTAGATCAATTTCAAAACTTCCTACAAAGCCCCAGAAATCAAGTGTGATCCTGGCATAAGATGAATGGAACAGAATTAAAAGTGCCTAGGTAAAACCTTACTTATCAACTTATGGGTTGATTTTTAATAAAAACTTCTACTGTGGATTCTTATGGACTGTATCATGCCCCTCCAAATCCACATGTGGAATCCCTAATTCCAAAGTATATTTGGAGATATGGCATTTAGGAAGGTTAAAAGTCTTAGGAGGGCCCTCCCTGGTGGTGCAGTGGGTTAAAGCGCATCTCTGTGAAGCCTGCCATAGCCACTTCTGCGCCAGTTTGATCCCCCACCAGGGAGCTGACCCACATGGTGTGGCACACCTCTCCTGACCCGCCCACTGCTCTCCTCAGCAGTGTACTTCATTGATCTGACTATTCTGCTCCCAGCTTTGCCTCTGGTGAATCCTCTCACTATTCCTGCACCTCTGGCCTATATCCCAGTTCTGTATGCATAAATAAATCAATCTTTAAATTAAAAGTCATAAGGTAAGTCCCTAGCCCAATAGGACTAATTCTCTTATAAAAAAAAGGGGATACCAGGAAGGTACAACTACAGAGGATAAGCCAAGTTAGGATGCAATAAAAAGGAGGCCTTGCACAAGCCAGGAAAGAGGCCTAAGTAGATGTCAACCCAACTGGCACTTCACCTTGAACTTCCAGTCTCCAGAACTGTGAGAAAATAAATTTCTGTTGCTTAAGCCACCAGTCTATAGCAGCCCAAGGCAGACTAATACAGTTACAAAGACAAATCAATAGGAAAAAAAAATAATCTCTTCAATTAATGGTGCTGGACCGGTGGTATGCACATGCAAAAAAAATTAAATTGATCCTCTATCTCAAGGATAGAGGATCAATGTATCAAAATGGGCCACAGACCTAAAAGAAATGCTATTACATCTAGCATTTAGCAAATGTAATGCTAAACCTAATAAACATAATTGTAAATCTTCATGACCTTCATTTAAACAATGGTTTCTTAGTTATAACACTGAAAGCAAAAGTGACCAAGCAAAGATAGATTAAATTAGACCTTGTCAAAATTTAAAATGTTTGTACCCCACAGGACTCTATGAAGAAAAGTGAAAACATAAACCACAGAATTCAAGAAAATATATATAAATCATATATCTGATAAAAGGCTTGTATCTAAGTTATCCAAAGAACTGTTATAACTTGACAATAAAAACCAATAATCCAATTTAAAACAGGCAAAGCATCTGAATAGATGTTTTTCCAACAGAGATATACAATAGACAATGAACACACAAAAAAGATGCAGAAAAATGCAGCTAAAAAATCATGTTAAGATACTACTTCATTCTCACTGTGTTGGCTAAAATAAACACAGTGAACACAGAGCAAAGACAAACTGGAACTCTCAACGTGCTCCTAGTGGCAATACAAAATGGTACAGCCGCCCTGGAAAACAGTCTCGTATTTTTTGAAAAGTTAAAAAGAATTCACATATGAACTCTTCCAGTGAACATGAGTATATACCCAAGAGAAATGTCTATACAAAAACTTGTACATCTATGTTCATAGCAGCATTATTCAAATAAAAAAAATGGAAATAACCCAAATGTTCATCAACTCAGAAAGAGATAAAATCTGGTAGCTCCACAAACATTATTTATCAATAACAGTATAACCGTGAACTTACTATACTAACTGAAGAAGTTAGTCACAAAGGACCACATATTACATGACACCATTTGTATGAAATATCTGGTATAAGCAAATCTATAGAAACAAAAAGTAGATCAGTGGGTTGAGGCAGAACAGTCAGGCAAAGAGCCTAAAGATTTCAATCAAGACAGACTTTTATGTGTGTTTTTGACAATGGTCTAAATGGCTTCAAAATGCTTAAAATTAAGAATCCAGGGCACTGGAAAAGCTCTGACAATGACTTTCTTTAAATCACTCAATCAAAATCAAGAACAAGGGTTATTTCTTTTCTTAAAATCTGTAGGGAAGAAAAATCTAGTCACTCTTGGAAAATTATTGCAGTGTACAAAACTATATACACTGTATTATAGTCTTTTTTCATTTTTAAAGATTTATTTATGCCTACGAGAACTGGGGTACAGGCCAGAGGTGTGGGGGGATGTGTGTGAGAGGATTCACCAGAGACAGTAAGGAGCAGAACAGGCAGATCCATTGAAATACACTACAGAGGAGAGCAGCAGGCGGGTCACGAGAGGTCAGCTGCGCCATGTGGGTTACGTGACCTCCCTGGCCATGAATCGAACTCATGCGTCAGTGACTGCACACCGCTTCATAGTGCTGCACTTTAATCTGCTGTGCCACCAGGTAGGGTCCACACTGCACTATATTCTTATACTTCAGACCCACAATTCCAATCATCTCCAAGCATTTCTTTTTATTTTTTAAAAACATTTATCCATTTATGCATACAGAACTGGGGCTGCAGGCCAGAGACACTGGGGCAGGGACAGTACCTCTCTGCCACCAGAGACAAAGGTCTCAGGGACAGTACCTCTCTGCCACCAGAGACAAAGTGGGGAGCAGAACAGGCAGATCAACTAAGTACACTGCTTAAGGGAGCAGAGAGTGAGACAGGAGAGGTCTGCTGCGCCATTTGGGTCAGCTCCAGGCCTCAGGATCAAACTTGCACTGAAGTGGCTACAGCTTGCCTGCACTGCACACTTTAACCTATCGCACCACCAGGGAAGGCTCATCTCCAAGTATTTCTATTTACACATCTTGTGGCAAACTCTTAATATGTACAGAGCTAGTTTATTATGTGGTAGGCAATTGTACTCTTTGACTGAATATCCACTTCATAATCTTTTGGCACTAGCAACCTTATTTCTTTATGCAAAATTACCTCTTCTACTTGGATATATTTGAAGAGCTCATTAATTAAGAGCTTGTCCTCTCCTGGCCTAAAAAGTAGCCTAAAAAGGGTAAGGAGTTAGAATTAAGGGAGACATAGAATTAAAGGAGAGAATATAGTGCTTCGTCACTACAGTGGAGGGCAAGCAATGAAACAAAGACTAGAGAGCGGATGTTCACTCACTCCATCAGCAGATCCCTGGCCAGCTCTCTGGCCACTCTGCTTGGTTCTTCAATCTCCCCTTTGGACCTAGGACCATCTCTGTATTTTAATAAATTCCTTTTTTCAGTTATCCAGAGTCTCTTTCCAGTGCTCTGGAACTTTGGAATCAAAGGACCCCCCCTTGCTCACGTTTTTCATGTCTGCGCTCACAGTATTAAACATCAATCCCTCAGTTACTCTGACTTGAACCAGGTAACCAAACCCTCTCCCTCCACACACTCAGTTAGTCCAAGTAGCAAAAATTCTGCCTCTTCAGGGCCTCTCTAACTACACCAGTCTCTTGGTTATATTTATCATTACACAAACTAAGAGCTCATTACTTTTCACTTGGGTTACTTATTCATTCATCAAACAAGGTCCCCAGACCAGATTTTGTCTTTTTTCACTGAAACATCTTCTCTACTCTTCCCTCAGTCTGGGATTATAGGTCTTTCTTGATCTGACCGTCTTATCTGTTTTTTTAATCTTATTTGCAGTCCTTCTCTAAAGCTTCAGGTTATCGCCACAAAATCTTGAAAGTGCTGGTAAAAAATATGTTAAGAATTTATAATGTGGAGCTTCCCTACGGCCCAGCAATCCCACTCCTAGGTATCTACCCAAAAGACACAAAAACAGTGATTGAAAAAGATACCTGCACCTGCATGTTTATTGCTGCTTTATTTGCAATTGGAAAGACATGGAAACAGCCCAAATGCCCAAAAGTAGATGACTGGATAAAAAAGATGTGGTACATATATACAATGGAATATTACTCAGCAACCAAAAAAGAGAAACACATGTCTTTTGCAGCAACTTGGATGGAGCTGGAAAGATCATGCTTAGTGAGATAAGCCAGAAAGAGAAAGAAAAATACCGGATGGTTTCACTCATAGCAGGAGTATAATGGACCAGGCGAGAAAATAACAAAAATAATGAACAACCATATACCAGAGACATTTTGCGGGGGTGGAGTGGGGAATGGGATCAAAAGGGGGGTGGGGAGGGAAGTGCACGAGATTATGGTGATGGCACACGGGTGACTTGGTGATGGGAAACCCGCGGGGATTACAATTGAAATGGAAAAAAAAATGTGCAAAATGATGTAAAAATAAACTTTTGTGATAATTAAAAAAATAAATAAACTGTTATAAAAAATATGTTAAGAATTTTATCACATGTGCTTTCTGGAAGGTGCTTCAAAATAATATGGGAGGACAAGAGTTTGGAAAGGAGTAGTGGACAGGGATGAGGCAGGATTTGCTATGAGTTAAAGGTTGTTGAAACTGGACATGGGAATACAGGGATTCAACATGCTATTTTGTCTGCTTCTGTGTATATAAAAAATTCCATACGATAAAGATTTCAAAGTCTTTACTTATTCAAGAAGGGAGGCCACTGATAAGATTTCAGTCCCAAAAGCAACAGGGAATTACGATTCAAATTCTTTTTAATATAAAAAGCCAGGAATCCAAAAAGGGACAGAGAAAACTGGGCTGACACAAACAATGAAAGAATAATCAACCAAAATGCATAATTATCAGTGTAAAAGATGGTATGAATACAATCAACTTAAGAATTATCACACACATAAAAAAGTGATGGAGTCAAATTTCCCTAGTAAGAGGTAAAAATCCTAGAACATCAAAGACAAAAGCTGTATTGGACAATGTAACTTCTAAAGAGTATGATAGGCCAGACAAATCCAAGTGATTTCCTTTGGGCAATAACATCTCATCTTCAAAAGCAGATACTCATACCTGAAATGACTCCCACTCAGACCCTCCAGGCCTTCCGCTATGGCACAGTGGAGGGTGGTCTGAGCTCCTTGCTGAGGGGTCTTGATGAAGAAAGAGAAAAGCCGCCACATCCACCTTACGAAAGTCGAGTGCCGAATCAATTCCGTGTGTACTGTGCCGGGGTGGACGGAATACGTCGTGACACTGGAGCCTGCCGGACAGGAAGACAGGACATGACCCAGGCAGACTCCTCACTTCCTTCCCACAGTGGAACCTTGAGTGCTCCTCACAGTAATGTAAACCTCCCTTTCTGACGCCAGCTCAGCGTAACTTAAAACTCTGCAGCAAAGCCAGGATTCCACTCTCAGCTGTGGTGTTGAATATTCCCTTTTGAAAGCTACCTTTTCATCAACTTCCATGAATCCCCTATTTCTGTTTTTTCTAACCCTTCTGGATGCTTTCTCTGTTTCCTGGACCAGTTCATCATCTCCCACCCAAGCTTAAAAAGTTGGAGATCTGTGGCTCACTAAAATTCCCTCCATATAACTTATGGAGTCCCCATTTTTACTTATGACCCAAGCTGTTTCTGTGAACTCTTGTTGACTGTGAGTATATCATAAGGGTTGAGGGCATGGGCATACATAGTCAGGCTGCCCAATTTCAAGTCTGGCTCTAGCATTCATTAGCTTTGTAACCATGGGCAAGCTAATGACATTGTGATTCAGTTTCCTTATCTGTAAAATGGGGATAATCATAATACCTGCACTCACAGTGTTGTTCTAAAGATTACATGAGTTCCCATGCATAAAAGAGCTTAGAATAGTATCTGGAGCATGTTAAGTGGTCTTTACCTACCTCACCAGTGAGTTATCTCAGGTCCCCCATCTTTATTGAAAACTTTCCAGGCAGAAGTGTTTCCAATTTTTTCTCGATTTCATAAAGGTAATGCGATGTATATACATCCTGTCTACTATTTACCTCTCTCTTGTAAAGGTTTGCTGCTGGATGAATTTGGTGTCAAGTTTATGAAGAAATTGAATTTTCAGGTCTGGGTTTTGGATTTCACAATTGCAAATCAAGTAGTATGGACCACTATTATTTTTAATTTGACATCTACTCTAGAGGACCTATAATAATGCAGATTTAGAGGTCCAAAACTGAACTCACTTTGAAAGTCAAATCAGGTTCCTGAAGTGTTCCCTACATTCTCAGCAAAAGAGGCACATGGGAACAGTTCTTGAAAATTCCTCACCTTATCATACAGATGTGGTCAACAGCCCCTAGTTTTCACATTCTGAGTAAGCCTGAGTAGAGTACACAACCCTTTTTCTCCATCACCCCAGCCCTAGTCTCATTTCTCACCCCGATTATAGAAATCATCTGTGTCTTGCAGTTTTTCAGTGTCCTTAGAATAAACAAGAAATCATTACTGTGGTCTCTACCTATTTCACCAGTCAGCTCTGCCTTCTATTCCTCTTGCTTTGTACACTCTAACCATGAACGCCTTCTCAGTTTCTCAGATTGACCCACGTTCCTCTTCCTGTCTGGAATGTTTCACAGCCCTCTCAGCTGTCTTACCCACACACACCTGTAACACATTTAATTTCTTTTTTTTAAAAAAAAGATTTATTTCTATTTATTTATGCATATAAGAACTGGGGTATGGCCAGAGGTGTGGGGGGTTGGAAGGATGGAAGGGTGAGAAGATTCACCAGAGACAGAGTAGGGAGCATAACAAGCATACTGACTAAAATACACTGCTGAGGGGAGCAGCAGGTGAGACAGGAGAGGTCTGCTGTGCCACGTAGGAGAGCTCTCTGGCTGGAGATTGAATTCAGGTTGCAGTGGCTGCGTATAACTTGACAGAGCTAAGACTTAACCCCTTGTGCCAGGGGGCCCCCTCATTTAATTTCTAATCACCCTGCAATAAGGGCTCAGCTTGCAATTCACTTCCTCAGAGAAGTGTTCCCTGGCCCCTCAGAGGGATAACATGCCCCCAGTGTAATCCTTATACTTCCCCTTTATAGCAGTTATGACAATTATAATTAAACAATAACACATGGAATGCAGCAATCTAGATGTTTTCAACAAAAATGGATAAATAAACAAAGGCACATCAAAACCATGAAACATGACGCAGCCAACAAAATATGGGAGAATCTCTATGAGAAACAAGGAAAGATGGCCAAGATAGGGTGCTGGAATTTCAATTCCTTGTATATGATACATATGTATGTAAATGTATAGGGAAATCACTACAAAGATGCGAATCAAGTTGTTGCCCAAGGTTTCTTGAGAAGAGATAAGCAGGAGAGGGAGAAAAAGAAGTGAAGGAAAGGGGAAGGGACGTTCACCTTTAATCTATATATTTCCATGTTATATGAATTTGTTTAATGGAAACTATTCAAATACCACTAGACTGATTTTACATGTGACAGTTGTCTAAATACTTGCTAAATTGTCTCTTTCCCCCATTGGATGTAAGCCAAAGTGAGGAAGCGTCTGTACATTTCTTACCACTCCGCCCCCAAACCCAGTGGGTACAATGACAGGGACACTGGGTGGGCACCTACCTGATGAGTGGCTTAATGGATGGCTCCTGTCATGCCCAAGCTGCTTTTCATTGCACCACAGCCATTTCCCACCTGACCCTCACGTCCATCAGACGCCTCACTAAAGTCTCCTGTTTTGATCTAGTCCTCACAGCTGGGCCCACCTCTCCCTCTCCAGGCCACACCAGCTCTCTGCCCAACCCTCTGGACAGTTTGCACCATCCAGTTACCCTCATGCACTATGAGCTGATGAAGGTTACCATGACCTGGGCACAAACTGGGCATATGAACTAAGCTAACTGCACCAATTTCACTCCTGTCTCACAACTGTAGATTATCCTGTTCCAATGTCCAATCCTATCCTATGTCTAATACTTGAGCATGAATTCTGCCTGCTTCAATCCTTAATAACTCCAAGGGCCCATTCCACATTTCCTTTCTCTTTACTGAAAATTCAGAGCAAGCACCAAAGACATCTATTCGTGACTGCAGACTCCCCTGCCCAAGCATACATAGCCCTTTTATCTGACCCTTTGCTTCTAGAGAGACTCTGTTCCACATTCCCAGTTGTATCCAGTACTATTCGGTTCCCTCCTTAAGAACCTGGCTTGCTCATGAGGCCTGAAATGATTACGACAATAATCTGGGAAGCAGTGCCATTTTACATACAAGGAAGTCTTGGAAAAGTAAAGTCAAGCCTCGAAACTCAAAGTCAGAATTTCCCAGTCCCTGTCAATCACTTCCAATTCTCAGTGGTGGGCTGCACATACTAAAACTACCAGTTCTAGTTTGGGAGAAGACTCTATCTAGAGGATGGATGGGTTTCAGAAAATAGTTTCTGTTACTGTAAGTTTTAACTACTCCCATGGTGACTCATTTCTGGTAAGCCTACCTTTTAGCCTTCGGGCCAGCTCCTGGGTAAAGAGGATATTGGCCAACTTGCTGTGACAGTAGGCCAGGCCTGAGTTGTAGAACTTCTCACCATGCAGGTTATGGAAGTGGATCTTTCCCATGTGGTGTGCTAAGGAAGACAGATTCACTACCCTGGATGGGGCTGATTCTTTCAATCTGTCTAGGAGCAGATGGGTCAGGAGGAAGTGACCTATGAAGAAAATTAGAATTAACAAATTCAGCATGGGGTGAGGAGAGTAGTGGTGAGCAGGGCCTGACTATGGGAGGCAGAGAACTCGAGAAGAGGGCTTTCTGTCTCAGCTTTTTATTATTAACTATAGACCAAACTCAATAAGGACACAAGGATCAGTAAAAGACACAAGACATACTTCTATGAATATGAATAGGAAGCCCGGTCTTATTCCAACTTTGCTTAACATCATTCCTTAGGAGACAATGGCTTCCACTTGTTGGCCACAAGAATCACTACTGAGAAAGCAACACAGCCCCCCAACACTATTAGTACATTCAAAAATGTCTGTAACCCCACACTACCAGGGAGGGCCCAGGTTAATGGAATCCGAATCACAGGTTAAAAAGTAGGTGAAATCATCACTTGGAATAGGGAGATACAAATTAAAACCACAATGAGATACCACCTCACACCAATGAGAATAGCACATCTTAAAACAACTAGCAACAACAAAGGTTGGCGAGGATGTGGAGAAAAAGGAACTCTCTTGCACTGCTGATGAGAATGCAAACTAGTACAACCACTATGGAAAACTGTCTGGAGGTTCCTCAAACTGCTAAACATGGAGCTTCCATATGACCCAGCAATCCCACTCCTAGGTAGCTACCCAAAAGACACAAAAATGCTGACTCAACAGACACCTGCACCCTCATGTTTACTGCTGCTTTATTTACAATTGGAAAGACATGGAAACAGCCCAAATGTCCAAAAATGGATGACTGGATTAAAAAGATGTGGCACATATATTACAATGGAATATTACTCAGCAACCACAAAAAAAATAAATAAACACATGCCTTTTGCAGCAACATGGATGGAGCTGGAAAAGATCATGCTTAATGAAATAAGCCAGAAAGAAAAGGAAAAATACTGGATGATTTCACTCATAGCAGGAGTATAACGGACCAGGTGAGAAAATAATAATGAACAGCTATATACCAGAGACATTTTGTGGGGGTGGAGTGGGGAATGGGATCAAAAACAGTAGGGGGAGGGAAATGCACAGGACTGTGGTGATGGCACACGGGTGATTTGGTGATGGGAAGCCCATGGGGATTACAACTGAGATGGAAAAATGCACCAAATGATGTCAAGATAAACTATTACATTATTTAGTTAAAACAAAATAACATGCAATGGTTGCACAACAATGTAATGGATTTAAGGTTACTGTGTTCTACACTTAAGAATGTTACTGTGTTTTACACTTAAGTTGAATGGCGCATTTTATGTCACACGTCTTTTGCCACAATTAAAACATCTACTGAACTGAACAAGAGAAGAAATATAATAGAGTGATTTCAGTTCTCCCTGGGAGCATTTAAATAGGCTGGGGTTTTTTTTGAATAATAATTCAGGCTTTTTTTTTTTAATTCAGTAGAACTAAATCAGCTCTTTGTTTATAGACTCATCCACTATTCCAAAGCTCTATTTTATGTTGTGTCTTAATAAATTAATCACTCAGTTATGTTTTTAAAAAAACAAAGTAGGTGAAATCGTGAATATCCCTTTTTTCCAGCAAGACCATACTTGTTATTCAATTATTACCCAGAAGTCTAATACCACAAAGGCAGATTAATCCATCCACTAAATGAGATTTCTTACCCAAGTGGTTCACTCCTATGTGCATTTCAAAACCGTCTGCTGTCTTGGAATAGGGACACATCATCACTCCTGCATTGTTGATCAGAATGTGGAGATGCTTTTCCTCTGCAAGGAGACAGAGGGTGAAGGTAGCCAGCCACAGTTGTTTCACCTTAGAAATCTGCCTAACCCTCAGACTTTAAAATGGGGATGCAGGACTTTGATCTTCTCTCATTTTTCCCTTCATATTCATTCTGTATTGCCTTTTTTAAAGATTTATTTATTTATGCATACAGAACTGGGGCACAGGCCAGAGGTGCAGGGGTGGTGAGAGCATTCATCAAAGGCAGAGAGGGGGGCAGAGCAGGCAGATTGACTGAAATACACAGCTGAGGGGAGCAGTGGGTGGTCAGGAGAGGTCTGCCACGTCATGTGATCCACCTCCAGGGCCAGGAATCAAACTTGCACTGAAGCGAGTGTGGCCAGCTTGCAGTGCTACGTCCTAACCTGCTGTGCCACCGGAAGGGCCTATAGTTTATATATTTTTTCTCTTATTTTAATGTATCAGAAAGGGAGAAGGATCTTTTCCTTGGAGCTAAGTTTGCCATATTGATCACAAAATCTGCAATAATCTGGATCTACACTTACCTGCTAAGAATTCTTTATTTTTTTAAAAAAAGATTTATTTTATTTATTTATGCACACAAGAGCTGGGGTGTAGGCCAGAGGTACAGGGGTAGTGGTAGGGGAGTGTATTCACCAGAGACAGAGCAGTGAGCCAAACAGGCAGACTGACTGAAATACACTGCTGAGGAGAACAGCAGGAGAGACAGGAGAGGTCTGTTGCACCATATGAATCAGCTCCCCGACCAGGGACAAACGTGTGCTGCTGAAGTGGTTGCTCATGGTTTCACAGCACTGAGACTTAACCCCCTGCACAACCAGGGAGGCCCACTTACCTGCTAAAAATTCTTTAGCAAAGGCTCGAATAGATTTAGTATCTGCCAAGTCCAGCTTCCGCACCAACACTTGTTTGTTCCCTGTCATAACCTGGATCTCTTTGGCCACCAGTTCTCCCTTTTGTACATCACGGCAAGCTAAATACACACGGGCACCTGTCAACCAAGATATGAGATGATCGTCAGCTCTGGTTTTTATATACATATATATATATATTTTTTTAAAGATTTATTTATTTGTGCATACAGAACTGGGGTACAGGCCAGAGGCTCAGGGGTGGCAAGAGGCTTCACCAGAGACAGAACAGGTAGATCGACGAAGTACACTGCTGAGGGGAGCAGGGGGCGGGTCAGGAAAGGTCTGCCACGCCATGTGGTCACCTCCAGGGCAGGCAGGAATCGAACTCATGCAGAAGTGGCTTTAGCTTCTTAGTGGGTACAGGCAAGAGGTATGGAAGGTGAGAGGATTCACGAAGACAGAATGGGGAGCAGAACAGGCGGATCTACTGAAATACACTGCTAAGGGGAGCAGCAGGCAAGTCAGGAGAGGTCTGCTGCACCATATGCGGGTCAGCTCCCTGGCCAGGGATTAAACTCAGGCTGTGGCAGTGACAGTGCTCAGACTTAACCTCTAGGGTACCAGGAAGCTCCAGCTCTGTTTTAGAGTGGGCATTATAGACCTAATACTGACTTTAAATGCCATTTTAAAATTATTTATGAAGGTGTATTTATTTGTGCATACAAGAACTGGGGTATAGGCCAGAAGTGCAGGGAGTGGTGAGAAGATTCACCAGAGACAGAGTGGGAGCAGAACAGGAGGGTTGACTGAAATACACTGCTGAGGGGAGCAGTGGGCAGGTCAGGAGAGGTCTGCTGCGCCATGTGGGCAACCTCCCTGGCTCGGAATCGAACACAGGCTGCAATGGTTGCCAATAACTTTATAATGCTGAGACTTAACCGCTTGCACCACCAGGGAGGCCCAATTTTTTTTTAAAGGAATCTTCATTCCAAGTGTACAACAGAGGTATCTGATACAGATATTAGAAAAGGAAATATATAAATAGCATTGGGCCCTCCCTCGTGGTATAGTGGGTTAAAGTGCAAGTACTGCAAGCTGGCCACAGCCGCTTCGGTGCGAGGTCCTTCCTGCCCCAGAGGTGACCCACATACCACAGCAGACCTCTTCTGAACGTCCACTGCTCCCTTCAGCAGTGTACTTTGTCAGCAGTCCTGTTCTGCTCCTCACTCTGTCTCTGGTGAATCTTCTCACCACCACTGCCCCTCTGGCCTATACCCCAGTTCTGTACGCACAAATAAATAAATAAATAATCTTAAAAAAAAATCAATCAATCAAATAGCACTGTCTGTTACATGTATGGCATTGTACATATGACCAGAAAACTAGTAAGACACTTGTAATATTCTGGAATTCCAAGACTGGGAGAAATAATGAAATGGTTGTCATTGTAAAGGATAAAATGGCAGTAGCAAAGAGAATTAAGAGCAGATGAACTTACCTCTTTGAGCCAGCTCTCTGGCCGTCTCTTTGCCAATACCTGTGTTTGCTCCAGTGATGACAACTACCTTCCCAGGAAGTTGGACAGTTGATGTACATACCCCATTGGACAGCATTTTCCTGCAAACAGAGGAGACCCACCCATTCTTCATTCTTTTTTATCTCAACATAGGATTTCTGCAACTACCCATCTCTTCATAGACAGATTTGTTTTCCTTCCTTCTCCTTTACTTTTATAGGTTTATGGAAGGTAATGGGAAAGAAAATAAGTTTTCTGCTTTTGTTCAATGGCAAACTGTAGAGCTGACCCCTGCAATACAAAAACTAGATAAATATGATTAACACAGAAACCTGGCTTGTTTGATCTCTCCACAGGAGACCTCTTCCACAAGCTTATGAAATCAAAAGACTCAGCCTAGCTAACAGATCTACTTATGTCAATATGTCCACAAATGACACACTGTGACTTTGATAAACAGCTAATCCAGCATGAAATATTAAAATTATGAAAGATTATCAACCTGGGACAAAATAAACAGAATCCCCCCCAATCAAAAAGAAAGCACAGCAGTACAAAGCAAGTGGCAGCCACTTCAGCACAAGTTCAATCCTGGCCAAGGAGGTGGCCCACATGGAGCAGCAGACCTCTCCTGACCCACCCACTGCTCCCCTCAGCAGTGTATTTTGTCTATGGGCCTGTTTTGCTCCCCGCCCCCCCCCACCCCCCCAGACAGGAGAGGTCTGCTGGCCGTTATCAAACTCAGGCTTTGGCGGGACCAGTGCTGAGACTTACCTCTAGGCCACCGGGCAGCCCAGGAGAAGCGCTTTTAAAGAGCATTTCTACCTTTTTTTCATCAAAGTTGGAATTACACATACACACTGCTAACTACTAAATCTATCTCCTTAGTGCTGGTAGGCTGATGAGGAAACAAATAACTCCCAGCGACCAAGCCTCCCTTGAGCTTGAGCTCCAGAAATAACCTATCAGGATAACCTATCTTCTTCTTTTTTAATGATTTATTTATTTGTGCATACAGAACTGGGGTACAGGCCAGAGGCCCAGGGGTGGCGAGAGGCTTCACCAGAGAGAGTGGGGAGCAGAACAGGCAGATTGAGGAAGTACATACACTGCTGAGGGGAGCAGCAGGTGGGTCAGGAGAGGTCTGCCACGCCATGTGGTCACCTCCAGGGCAGGCAGGAATTGAACTCATGAGGAAGTGGCTTTAGCTTAGTGCTGTGCTTTAACCCGCTGCGCCACCAGGGAGGGCCTGAGTTTTTTCTTAACCAGTAGGAATGGGAGACAATCAACTATGAAAGTTGAGCTGGGCTCTCCCTGCTGACACAATGGATTAGGACACAGCACTGCAAGCAGCTGCTTCAGTGCGAGTTTGATCCCCAGCCAAGAGGTGACCCACTTGGCGCCGCAGACCTCTCCTATGACCACCCGCTGCTCCTCTCAGCAGTGTACTTTGATGATCTGGCTGTTTTACTCTGTCTCTGGTAATCCTCTCACCGCCCCTGCACCTCTGGCCTGTACCCCAGTTCTGTATGCATAAATTAATAAATCTTCAAAAAAAAAAAGTTCAGCTCTTGCTTCCACAACCTAGCTAGGTAGGATATATAGCCCTTGAGGTATAAGCAAACAAAACTCATGGAGGCATGTGTTTTCAGTTCAGTTCAACTTTTCATTGAAATTCTATGTCCACGAGTGCATGTTGTGATGGAAAAGGACAAAGAAACAGTCTTTTCATCTGAGGATGGTCACCCACGTGAGCCTAGCGTCAGGAGTGCTAGTTCGGAGGAGAGAAAAATACTACTGGAGGGCAGAGGTGGGCAGGAAAGAAAGAAACGTGTGATCTAGGGTGAAGACAATTTCGACAGCACCTGCCCACCTGGGGGGAAGGAGTGTCTCTTCAGTCGCTAGACCACCGTCACCACTGGTGACTTAGCAGAACCAATCAGCAGGCGGCCGGCCGTGCAACGCGCCGCCCATCTCTGTGGCGTCCAGCCAGCCATGGGTAGCTACGTCAATGGTCCCTATACCACACTCCTCATCCTCACTGGCCCATAGCCTCCCAGAGCCCAGCGCCCCAGAGCGTATAGTCCTCAGCTTCTCCTGACCCAAAGGGCTCACGAGGAAACAGTTTCATTGCTTTCCATTATATCTGCCCAGAGAATGCATGAGTCTAACGGCAACCAGAAGCACGCAAGGAGCTGTCCGAGTCACGCTGCTCATCGAGGGCATTTCCAGAAAGCAAAAAGTTGAATGGCTTCAGTTTTTCAAAAGATGGGAGCAAGAAGCTAGACAGGGCTGGTTCAAGACGCAGAAGTTAGGGAGAAACTAGTCCTGAGGACCATGACTCATTTTAGGGTCTGGAAACCCCTAAGGCTGTACACTTCAAGTGTTTTAAGTAGCCTTGCATTCGGGGTTCTCTGAAGGCAATGGCCGCTTAAACGAAAACAGTGGCCAGGAAAAATAAATCAGGGTACCCCGGAAGGCAGCTCTTTCTCGCCGCCTGGGGCCCTCAGCTTCGCAAACCAGGTCGTTGGACCTTCTCGCGCCGACGCAACTCCCGGCACGCCACCCCCATCCACCTACGGAATTTTCCTTTTTCTTAAGAGCCCCGGCAAATAATAATGTTGCCCCCCACAGACCTGATTTGGGGTGCAGCGATGTACAGGAGCAAGGGGAGAAGGAGAAGCAGGATAAGGACTCCAATCATCTTGCTGGGCAGCAGCTGCAGCAATGCAGCGGCGCGGGGAAGTGGGCTGCCCCAACGATGCTCTCGACGACCTGGTCTCTACCCAGACACACCCTGTGCAAAGTACACCATCCCGGGAGCAATGTCCTCTGGGAAATGTAGTCCACAGCTTAGCGCGGGGTGTGGGCTAGTGAACGCGGGTCCAAAGTCCCAGAGAAACCCCAGATCCGCGACGGACTCCTCACCATCTACAGCCTAGGGCGTTGAGGGTCATCTAAAACGTTCTCCCGCAGCCCTTCAGATCCGCGGATTCTGGCGAAATCTCCTTCTCCCAGTGCCCAAGTCCAGATCCTGGTTCAAGTTCCCCCAAACGCCCCAGGCAGTTACCACTTTTTTTCTTCTGGCGTCTGTAATTTTTACGGCGGATTGAGAAGAAGAAAAGCGTTTGGAGGCTTACAGTTGGTGAGGCAGCCGAGGGTGTTGAATCCTTAGGCTTTCGACATTCTTTCATCCGGTGAATGGAGCGGAAGCAATCAGTTCTTGAGGATATCCCCAAGAGACTTCCTTCGTTGCTCCTACTTTGAATTATAACTACCATAATTTTCCTGTTGTTTTATTTTTAATTGGTAAGAGTTTTTTTTTTTAATTATTGTTTTCTTGATGGCTTGGTTTATTTCTATTAACTCCCAAACAAGCAGTTTCTCAGATTAGCATAATTCCTTTCTCACCAATTCATGAAAATATTTAATCCTCTCTGGAATTAGAATCATGAACAATCTTTGCAAGTAAGCTTATTCCTTCATCAATCTTTCCTTTCCATGCTGCCTTAACCGGTTTAAATCTGATTTCCTGGGGATGTTTTAAAAAGTTAGTATCTGGGCCCTCCCTGGTGGCGCAGCGGGTTAAAGCACAGCACTGAGAATCTGAGGCCACTTCCGCATGAGTTCGATTCCCGCCTGCTGCCTTCCCCGGAGGAGACCACATGGCGAGCCAGACCTCTCCTGGCCCGCCCGCTGCTCCCCTCAGCAGTGTACTTCGTCGATCTGCCTGTTCTGCTCCCCACTCTGTCTCTGGTGAAGCCTCTCACCGCCCCTGAGCCTCTGGCCTGTACCCCAGTTCTGTATGAATAAATAAATAAATCTTTAAAAAAAAAAAAAAAAAGTTAGTATCTGTCTGTGACTCCTGACTAATACAATAATATATTCTGGTTCTTCTGCTTAATTCATTTCTATTGTATTTGAAAGACAATTGTTCCAAGTTTAATTGAGACCAATATATTTTATAGTAATTGGAGAGGAGAGGGTTTCTGAGCAGGGAGGATCTGAACAAGGAGAAGAAGTAGGTGAGGAGAAGAAAGGAAGAAGGATGAGGAGTAAGGAGACCTGGAGGAGGCAAACGGAGCAGAGAAACATGTGAAGAAGCTTCACTTGGTTTTGGTCCTGGGCTGATTGAAACAGATGTGGGAGAGACTGTGGGTGTAACAGGGTGGTCCCCAGGAAAAGGGGAGGTTCTGGGTTCCCTGTCTCACCCAGAAGGAAGGTGGAGCAGAGCAGGAAAGAGAAGAATCTGGAGAGAAAACTGAAGAGGAAAGAAGCAGGATGGAGAGCCAGAAGGAGACCTGAGGGAGGCACATGGGGGCAGAGAGACATGTGAAGGAATTCCCTTGCTTCTTCGGCAGTGTTTATCTTGATTTTGATTTTGCTCTTTTCGTTCCAGACTCTCTGGCCATTTCTGACCCTTTTCTATGGGTCCCTGCTGGAAGGTGCTTTAGACTTGTGTTGGGCTTTCAGGTTGCTTTGGGCCAGTCACTTGTGGGTTGAATTTTACCCACGAGGGGGATGGGTTATTTTGGGTGTCTGATTTAGAAAGTATATTCGTTGTCTTTTCTATCTTGCACACCCATTATATTAAAGTTCCTTTCCATTAATGGTCTTATATGTCTTGTCTTGATGCGGCATATGGCAGAACCTATTTAGGACAGGCAAGTTTGGGGTTTAGCGGTGTCCCTCTCCCTGCCCTGCAACAAGTCCACATGCTCTACTCCCTACTCTGTGTTTGGTGATCCCTCCCACTTCTGCCCCCGCATCTCTGTCCTATACTCCAGTTCTTGTATTAATAAATAAATAGCATAAATATTAAAAATGAAAAAAGAGAGAGAGAGTAGCCAGGACAGTTGTCCAGTGCAGAATCAGCCCACTTGACAGTTTTGAAGCAAAAGTTAAAAACCATGAAACAGACCCTCCCTGGTGGCGCAACCAGTTAGGACACAGCAGTGCAAGCTAGCAGCCGCCACTTTAGTGCAAGCTCGATCCCTGCCCTGGAGGTGACCCACATGGCAAGGCATTACCCACCCACTGCTCCCCTCAGCAGTGTACTTCGAAGATCTGCCTGTTCTTCTCCCCACTCTGTCTCTGGTGAAATCTCTCACTGCCCCTGCACATCTGGCCTGTAGCAGCTTCAGTGCCAAGTTCAATCCCTGGCCAGGGAAGTGACCCATATAGCGTGACAGACCTCCCCTGGCCCGCCCGCTGCTCCCCTCAGCAGAGTACTTTGCCGACCTGCCTGTTCTGCTCTCCACTCAATCTCTGGTGAATCCTCTCACCGCCCCTACACCTCTGGCCTGTACCCCAGTTCTGCATGCATAAGTAAATAAATCTTTTTTTTTAAGTCTCAAAACCAGTATGAAAAAAGATTTCATTCAGATAAAAACCTTCCTCTATCTTCCTAAAAGCAAACATTGTTATCTCTATCTATAAGTAAATATATGCTATATTCCCTCTTTTTAAAACATATTGCAGCATAGCATAAATACTGTTCTGCTCCTTGCTTTTTCACATAATGCATTTTGAAGACTGTTTCATATCAACCTGTTAAAGGAGTATTTATTTTTTATTACAGTTGCTTTAGTATCCATTGTATGACTATAATATAGACGGACATTTAAATGGTTTCAAAACTTGCTGTGCCTAATAATGCTGGAAGGACAACCTTCTGAATTCAAGGGAGAGGAATGTGGTAGGATTATAGCTTTATTAAATGTTATCACACTTCTCTTTGTAGAGGTAGTGATAACAAACTCTCCTTTAACAGTGCATCATTATTTTCTCACACTCCTACCACTCTTAATCTTTTTGAAATATTCCAGTCTGATAAATAAAAGGTAGCACTCAGAGTGATTTTAATTTGTATGTCTCCTAAGAAGAGTGAGGTTGAAGAGCAACTTCTATTTCTTTCTCTGTGAACTGTTATTTTAATTGGATTATTTATCCTTCTCATTAGTGATTTGCAAGAGTTCTTTATATATTAGGTAAATTAGATGCTGATCTGTGAATATCCACCTCCTGAAACCTCAGTTTCTCATTCACTTTGCCTTGCGTGTGAAGGTTTCTGTATTTTCTTTTTTTGATCTCTGAGCTTCCTGTCTTACTAGAAACAAATTTTTTACCATTTTTCATGGTGTCTTTGATTTAGTTGAAAGTTTGGTGTGAAAAGTAAGGTAAAGATCAAGTTTACGTTTGCCCAACTGAATACCTAGTTATTATAATACTTTATTTAAAAGTTCATCTTTCCTGGCCCTCCCTGGTGGCGCAGCGGGTTAAAGCACAGTACTGAGAATCTGAAGCCACTTCCGCATGAGTTCGATTCCCGCCTGCCGCCTGCCCTGGAGGAGACCACATGGCGAGCCAGACCTCTCCTGACCCGCCCGCTGCTCCCCTCAGCAGTGTACTTCGTAGATCTGCCTGTTCTACTCCCCACTCTGTCTCTGGTGAAGCCTCTCACCGCCCCTGAGCCTCTGGCCTGTACCCCAGTTCTGTATGCACAAATAAATAAATAAATCTTTAAAAAAAAAAAAAAGTTCATCTTCCCCTCCCTCTCAATTTAAAGTGCTGTTTTTATCATACCTATGTGTATTTGAGCCTATTTTTGTTCTATTGTTTTACCTATCCATTGGCCTGTACCACACTATTTAAATTACTGTAGCCTTACAACATAGTTTAACATTCAGTAGGACTGATCATTCATCCATTGGTGGTCTTTGGATTATAATATTTGAAGTGTTTTTAGCAAACTATTTGTGTATTTCTCTAATTATAGCAGCCTTATATTCTTTCTAATATATTTCTCTGCTATTCCAAAGCACTGGAGGACATGTTCTTTAGGGTTCTCTGCATCCCAAACAAACTTAAGATAAATTAACATTCCTTAAAATGCATGAAATCTTCCATTTGATTCAGTAAAAATGATGGGCACTCAGAGGGCATTAGTACAAAGGTACCCAGATTTAAGGACACTAGTTGCACTGTCACTTGCATGGTGTGACATAGTGTCTATCATTGTGATTGACCTCAGCCTTGATTACATGCAGTAGGGAGGACTCTAAGCATTATACACCAACAGATCTTGTGTATGGGCTATTGCAGACCCAGTGTCACCGGGTATGGTTAGAAAATCATCTTTCCCATCAGCAGGACCATGCTGGCCCAGTGGCCAACAACTCTAGAAGGCAGATGTTGCTGTGCCAGCAACAATATCTCCTCAGGAGTATCTGAGATTTTGAGGTCCCTATAACTGGTGAACTGGAACGAGAGTGGGAGAAGTGGGAAGAGATGACACAGTCAACAGTGAGTCAAGAGAGATCCCCTCCTGAGAATTATGACTATACCTTGTTATGTTTATCAGGTCCATGGGACTCCTAAGGAGTAGGAAGCACTACTCCTCCCAAGTACTTGATGCAATGTTCCAAGTACTCGACACAATGCCTGGCACCAATAAGTGTTCGGTTAGTGTATGGTGAACAGATGGGTGAATCGATGAATGAGGGAGTGGACTCCTACCTGCCACAGGAGGACCCATCATCAAACTGGTTCTCCAAGAGCATCTTCTCCTTTCACAAGAAGGACAAAGCTGGTGCGTGATTTTTAGGGTCCTGTCTGGCTTCTTGCCTTTCCTCATGTCTATGAGAGGGATGCTGAGTGAACAAGAGCTGTGAACCCCACTTACTCTTCTCCCGTCTCTTGACACACTTCCTCCCATCCCCTCGCATACCTCAAACATCTTTGACAGTTTCTACTAGCTTTCTCTCATGTTCTCTTGCATCTTTTTTTTTTAAATGATTCATTTACTTATGCATACAAAAGCCGGGGTGCAGGCCAGAGGTGGAGGGGATGAGAGGATTCACCCAGAGAGTGGTGAGCAGACCAGTCAGATGTACTGAAATCCATTGATGAGGGGAGCGGCAGGCAAGACAAGTCTGCTGAGCCATGTGAGTCAGCTCCCTGGCTGGGACTGAACTCCTGCTGCAGTGGCTACTGGTAGTTTCACAGTGCCGAGACTTAACATCATGCGCCACCAAGGAGGCCCTCTCCTGCATCTTCAATAACAAAATGCTTTTCTCATTCATCACCTCTCTTTTTTACACCAAACTCATGAGTAAAACAAGGAAGATAGCTAGAGAGACAAAACAACATAGCGTGTCATAGCAACACCTCTGACACAATGCTTACAATGTGCTAGTCTTGCTCCAATTTTCTACCTTTTAATTTCATGCTTAAACTAGGTGAATATATGTGTTTATCATGCCCCATAAACAAGCAAGGAAACTGAGTTAACAGAGACATTAATAACTTACTCAGGGCCACAGAGCATGCAAGTAAATGACTTGGCATGTGAAGCAGGAAGTCCAACTCTAGAGCCCACACACTGAAACACTCTTCCCTTTCCTTGGCTGGTACAGGTGGGCATTAAACTTCATTACAGCATAACATGCAACACAGAAATGTGTATAAATCTAATGCATGCTGCAACAAATTTTCACAAAGCAAGCCACCTGTGCAAACAGCACCTACATCAAAACCAGCACCCACATCAAAACATAGCAAACAGAGTCTCCCAACAGGCCCCCTTTCGGTCTTTACCACATCCCTACCACAGGTAACCACGTTCCTGACTTCCCTTCTGGGTTTTTTCCTTGTCTTTCTATTTTATTCACACTTTCTATTTAAATCACATATTTTGTAGTCTGCTGCTGAAGTTAAAATTATCCAGTCTTGTGGAAGTTCCCTAGATAAGAGGAGTGACTGAGGATAGGAGGTTAGCAGGAGGTTGCTTCAAGTCCCCCTCAGTCTTGCCAGTAAATGTGGACATCCACTCTCATTGCCATCCTCCTCTCCCGGACTACATCTCCCAGCAGGCTGTGTTCTGACAGCTCTTGTATTTAAATAGGATTCTGGGCTGAGCTTAGAGCCAGGCTGAGCTCCTGCCGGAGGAGCAGAGGAGATAGAAGAGGGAGAAAGTGAGAGAAACAGCCAAGAGTTGGAGCCAGACCAGGAGCTCAAGCCTGAGTTGGAGTCAACGTTGCTTTTGCTTAAGCAGCAGAAGGAAAGAAGTTGAAAGGATGCTGCTCATGTTGGGACTGCTCATCTCCTTCCTGTCTTTCCTGTATGTGCTAGCCCCTTCCATCAGGTTTGTCTTAATTCAGTAACTCATACATATTGAATTGGGAGCCACGGAACTTGTGGGTGATAGAAGAGAAAGGGAGGGAAGCCCTGGGAGTGAGAGTGCAGAAACAGCTGGTAGGAAGGAGGTAGTTCTAGATAACCATGGTGGAAAATTGGAAGGAAGCAGCTGGGAGAGCAGGGGCCAGTTTGTTTTCTGGGACTGAATGGATGACTTAATAGTAAGCAGCGTGAGAAACAACCTAGGTAGGAGACCTAACTCTTTCCCTCTATTTCCTTTGTTTTTTTTCTGACGTCTGCCTTTGCTCACTGTACCTAGTCAAGGTAACCCTGCTAGATTATTACAGGTGCTCATTGCCAAGGAGCTCAGGATTAAGTAGCACGTATTTGGTTGGGGGAAGGGCACAAACTCTCTTCCCTTTGATACTCTACTCAGCTACTCTTGTGGGATGGCACTTTTGCCATGGGATTTCTGGAGGTGTCCATGAAATGTGTGTTCTCAGTGGGAAATTTAAGCATGGTTAGTGATGAAGAAGGTAAAATGGGCAAGTCAGGGACAAAGTATTGCTCTAGGTCATGGCAGGAAAACCTGGTAAAATTCAAGTGTTTTCACCATGATCAAACAATTTAAATGTCTTTTTTAAAAAAGATTTATTTTATTTATTTATGCATACAAGAACTGGGGTGTAGCCCAGAGGTGCAGGAGTTGGAGGGATGAGAGGATTCGCCAGAGACAGGGTAGAGAGCAGAACAGGTGGATTGACTGAAATACAATGCCGAGGGGAGCCGAGGGGGAGAGGTCTGCTGTGCCATGGGGGTCACCCCCGGGGCCGGGAATCAAACTTGTGCTGCAGTAGCTGGTGATAACTTCAAACTGCTGAGACTTAACCCTTTGCACCACCAGAGAGGCACTGATTTGAACTTCTTTTGCTCAGTTTTCTCCACTGTAAAATGGGTACAGTAACAGAGTGGCAAAGAGGATGAAAGTAAATCACTTGTAGAAAATGTCTAGTCTGGTGCCTACCATTTGGACAATGTCCAGGAAATATGACCTCCTCTTTTTTGGAACTTGTCCAGTCAACTTTATATAAAAGGATGGTCACTGCACAGAAGTCTGAACAAGGGAGGTTTGAATGAGTGAAATCTCTAGAACAATATCAGAGAGGCTCTGATGATGACTCTCTAAAACTGGCGAGGCAGCCCGAGAGCCCTATTTGCGTATGGGGGCCCCTCAAGGGTGCTGTGCATCACTCCTTCACCGCTGATGCTTACTGAAGACCTAGAGTTCAGAACCAGTGATTCTACTAATGCCCATCCCTCATGTGGGTTGAAGCTGACCTCCAGGAACCTCTAGAGATAAGAACAAGGCATCTTGGCCCTGGCTCTTGAGCATTTATTCTCTTTGCCCAGATGATCATTTGTATCTCCTGAGCACATGACCTTCCAATGTAAGCAGATGAGCAGGAGACTCTCTTGCCTAGTGGGACAAGGGAGATTATTCGAAAGATTAGCCTCTTTGACTCTCCTAAGGACAACTTCAATCCCTCATTGAGGCCGGATGGATTTGATGTGTCTCAGCCAAGGGTTGGGAAGGACGGTGCATGAATGCTTTTGTTACCCTTGCCTATAGGAAGTTCTTTGCTGGTGGGGTTTGTAGAACAGACGTGCAGCTTCCCGGGAAGGTAGTGGTGATCACTGGCGCCAACACCGGCATCGGCAAGGAGACAGCCAGAGAGCTCGCTCGCAGAGGCAAGTCCTTCCGCTCGGTCTCCACAGGGCAGCACCTCCTGCCCTTCTCCCTGAGGGTTCTTTCTACATTTCCTTCTTCCAGCTGGGTTTGGAGGCTCTGACTAGCAACTCAAGGAATGGGATTCAAGCTCAGCTGTGACACTAACTTACTTTGTTGCCTTAAACTAACCTTCCTTCTTCCCTACTTCCCTTTTATATAAAGTGAGGGAAACAATGAGGCCCATGTATCCCACGGATCAAGCTAATAATCGTAAAAGGAGGTACTCAGCAATGCTGAAAAGCACTGTAAAGCCAAGGCTGCCAGCCTGGGGTCAGGCTAACGGCTGGGAAACTGAGCTGCTGCACTACCTGTAAGGGTCCTGATGTGTCTAAACAGCCACTCACTGATGTCCAGATGACTGGCAGGACTCTCTGTCTGCCGCCCCATTCTCACTTACCACACATCTTTTCAGCTGAAGGTTTGAACACATTGTCCCGTCTTTGCTTTGGCCTCAGGAGCCCGAGTATACATTGCCTGCCGGGATGTGCTGAAGGCGGAGTCTGCTGCTAGTGAAATCCGAGCTGACACGAAGAACTCCCAGGTGCTGGTACGGAAACTGGACCTCTCTGATACCAAATCCATCCGAGCTTTTGCTGAAGGCTTCCTGGCAGGTGAGGCCCATGGGGGGTAGCTAGAAAAGCAGAAAGCTGAATATGGGAGTGGTTGCCTCACCCTGGACCATCTCTGACCCTTACATCAGAACCAGCTCTGATCCCACTGGACAGGTTCTGCCACATGAACCAGCAGGGCAGGGGATTGGCAAGGGGATGGCAGGTGGAGAAGCTGGGCAGGATCCTTATCGTCCTTTTGCATCAGCAATGGGAATGTTGGAAGTGTGAGCTCCCTGTCTGGGCTTGCATCTGGGCACTAAGGTGTGGCCCTGAAGCCACTCTCTTTTTTCCATCCTGAGAATCAGCCATCTCTGGCCACAGGCCTAAAAGAGGTTGTGTTACTGCCAGAATTCTTCCAGATTTTGAAAAATTACCAGCTTCTACCAAGAACTATGGAATCCCTGAGTGACAGGGATCATGTCTGCCATGTTTTACCACTCAGTACTCAGCAAAATGGACCTGTTCTAGGATCAGCATACACTTATGCCAAGCGAACGAATGAATGAATGAATGAATGAATGAATGAATGAATGAGTGGTGTCCAGAAAGATAACAGTAACTAAAACTCGAAACCCAAGGACAGTGGTTATTGAATATCATTGAGATGGGTCCAAAGGCAAGGAGCAAATATAGAACTGTCACCTGAAGCTAGCCAACTCCTTGCTAACCAAGGTCTTCTTGGTTGTGCTCTATAGAAGAAAAGCAACTCCACATTCTGATCAATAATGCAGGAGTGATGATGTGCCCATACGGCAAGACAGCTGACGGGTTTGAAACCCACCTGGGAGTCAACCACCTGGGTAAGTATCTCAGAGAGACTGCAAATCAAGGCATGTTCCATTGTGTTTTCTGGAGGGAGATGACCCTGTACTAGCACTGAGAATCTCCAAGTGTCTTCACAGAACCCAACAAATGAACATACAGTTGTTTTTTTACTCTTCTTTTCTTGACCAGTCCAAAAAAGTAAGATACCACATCCACTTCCTACCAGTATTATTAAGAAACACCCAAACTTGAGCGATACTAGGAGGAATGTCCTTAGATAGGGTAATGGCGATGCAGGGCTTCCCAAGTAGGGCCAGTTGTGGGGGTACAAGACCCTAGAGGAGTCACACACATAAGTGAGGGCCAGACTGGCCAAGGGGTGGTCCACGGAGGCAGTAAACCTTGAGGACTTGAGGTGTGACCAAGGCTGGGAATCCAGAGTAGAGACCATAGAACATGTTAATTCTCCTGACAATCCCATCCTTCCTCCTGCAGGAGAGTTTATCGGGGTTCACCTTTGTATGATCATGACCAGGTGTCATCTTTCCTAACTTGGGCAAGGGGAGAGTTATAAGTAGGTATGGATTAAGTCTATGTCTCCTCACCTCATGCAGCTCTCACCCTTGTGTAAGGATTCTACTAGCATAGAGTGACCGATCATTAGCTCCGAGTCGTTCATAGCATCAAAATTTATTTACACCCAGAAGAGAGTGAGCTAAAGAGAGAGTGAAGTCCCGTCATCAGCTCCCATCTCCTGAGCCTGGGCTGCCCCTCCACACTTCAGTCTCCCCTGCTGGCTCTCGTTGCAGGCCACTTTCTTCTCACCCACTTGCTTCTGGAGCGTCTAAAGGAGTCCGCTCCTGCCCGGGTGGTGAACCTGTCATCAGTGGTGCATCACTTTGGCAAGATTCACTTTCACGACCTCCAGAGTGAGAAGAACTACAACTCATGCTTTGCCTATTTCCACAGCAAGCTCGCCAATGTACTTTTTACTCGTGAGCTGGCCAAGAGGCTCCAAGGTAAGTCTGGAGAAAGGGTCAGGGTTATGATTGCAAATACAAGATCTTCTGTTCAGATTAAAGCCTCATAGAAGCTTTTCAAGGCATAATGTTAAACATGCACATATCAGTGGCAGCTCTGTATGCCAAAGAGAAGGAAGTTACCAATAGGGTAAAAACAAGAGTTGTTAGCCTCAGGAAACTTAAAATTATGACATAAATCCCCTAACATTAATGTCACATCTTATCTCATTTGGTTTACACAACAATCTCTTGGAACTGGCAGAGCAGGTATTATTATTACTATTTTCATAGGTCCAGACTGAGGTCCATGGTCTGGCCCCAGATTATATAGCAAGTCAGGGCTGGAATGTGGGCACTCTGCATCAATGCCAGGGTACTGCCATCTGTATGCCACTTGCTGAGGCTCACATGGTATGATGGGTCACAGAGTCACCACTACCCAGAGTCAGGGAGCAAGGACTGATGGTGTCACATCCTGCGTGGATGGGAACATGTCCCTTTAGCCTCCCTGGACTTCAGCCCTTAACCCTGTGTGCCCCTGGAGTTTTCACTGCGTTACTGGCTCTAACATCTGTGAATCTGCTGGATCGTTTACTACAGTGAATAAAGCAGAGTTGGAAATAAAGGTGTTTACTGGCAGGATACAGAAGGTGAAAGAATAGGGCACACATTACAATAAATAATCATAATCATAATGACAATGATAATTGAGGGTTTTGTGTGTATTGCATACTAATCGTGTCTTATGCATTTAATACAATATTCCTGTGAGGTAGGTATTGTTATTCCCACCCACTCTATAAATGAGGAGGTAGGCACAGATGTATATTAAGAAACTTGCTCAAATGAGGTTTCTAGCTGAGCAGGATTCAAATTGAGATCATCTAGCTCCAGGTCCCTGCTCTTTATCTGCCAGGAGTGACCTTAGACAACTTACTTAACCTCTTTTGGATGAGAGTTCAATTTCCTCAGTTGGAAAAGGGCACCTTAGTATTACCTTTCTTATGAGTATTTCTGAGGACTAAATGACAGAATACATTGACGCATGTGTCACAGCCTTTGCATGTAATAAGTACTGGAAAGAGTTGAGGTACTGGAGGTATCTTGGGGACATGCTAGTCCCCATCATCTCCTCATCACACCTCAACATACACTTCATAAAAGATGCTTGCTAGGCAAATGCAACTCAAACCAAGGCCCTAGCCTTCTGCTTTCAACCACATTGCTCCCCCTGCACCCACAAAAAAACCCCAAAGATGCTGCTGTCAATAATTGACACTGTTACTGGCACTAATGCATGTTGCTGTTTAAATGATAGAAGTCACAGAGTAAAGGTGACATTGAAATAGAAGGACCTTCAACCAGGTGACAGGTTTGGGAAGGTGACATCTTTCTGGAAGAGACCAATCAATCACTAGTTGGATTCTTTCTGGTACCTTCTGACTTTTGGAGGTATGTTTCCGGAGTCTCTTCTCCTCACATGTACATTTTGCCACAGGACATCAGCTGTTTCCCTGGACTTGAGTGTGTTCCTGATCTAACTGTGCCCACTTTGACCTAGGCACGGGGGTCACCATCTATGCAGTGCATCCAGGCATCGTCAGGTCGGAGCTGGTCCGGCATTCTTTCCTGCTGTGCCTGCTGTGGCGGCTCTTCTCCCCTTTTGTCAAGTCGGCACGGGAAGGGGCACAGACCAGTTTGCACTGTGCCTTGGCTGAAGGCCTGGAGCCCCTGAGTGGCAAGTACTTCAGGTGTGTGGAGGCAGCTGGGTTTTTGCCACCATTTGCATGAGCTGGGAGGCCCAGGGACCTATCTGGCTTTGTACCATCAGTGTAAACCAAATGTAGTTTTTTTGTTTTATTTTACAAAAGTTTATTTTTACAT